AGCTGGGCAAAATGGGATTTAACCTGAATACTCTTCCTAATGACTGATCTTATTCTCTGTCAGAGGAGAACAACTTGACAGAAACCATATTTGAACGCAATATCATAAAACCTCCAATTAGTTATTGACATAGTGTTATTGCTGTGATTCGTGTTATCTAATCGTTCAAGTGAGTTTCCAGTCAGTGCTTCCTTGGTTTGATACTGTAAAACCACAGTGTGCTGAAATGAACTATTACCTCAAGGGTGCAGAAGTCATGAAAACAAACATGTCCACTTGTACTGTAAGTAAAGGAGACCACCATGCAGTCTGAGGATGGACACCTCAGCAATGATTTATCAGGAATAATAAATAAATACTATAAATAAATAATAACACACTTGTCAAGAGTTATTCCACGTCGGTAGAGCAGTGCACACACACCGGAAGAGTTTGAATACACTTGCCTGTCATCTACAGTATGTTAATGTTCAGTTTTACACTTTCTCTCTTATTTTTCCCCTACCCAACACAAAATCACAAACTTCTACAATTTGAAAGTAAAGTGACAAAGAAAAAGAAAGATGGTTGAAGTATATTTGGGAAAAGGGTGGAAACTAAATATAAGCTCAATGTAAACGCAGCAAAACAAAGGTTCACTGCTTTGGTTGATAAACTCTCTTTCACATAGTTTTTCTACTTTTAAGGTAACAGTAAAATGATCTGTCGACTTCCTCTTATCAAAGGGAACAGAAAGCAGATGTGAAAACAAGATATATGTCAAGGGAAGTTGTGGTGTTTTCACATGTTTGAGAACAGTCACATGAGTGTGTGTCACTGGGAATGTCCTGAGAATTTATGACTCTGATTCACCGTCTAACCTCAACACCTGACAATCAAGCCTTGGCTTGAAAACAATGCATGTAGAGATCAACTTAGAATCAGAATTCAGAAAAATGCAATATGAATTTAGAGCAGTATCAGGAACATCGGACAATGTTTTGTCTCTTATCGCCAATGGGGAACTTCCTCATTTCCCTCATTGTTTATTTTAGGCTTAATATGTAACATGACATTAATCAATAATGTTCACACTTAGGTTCACGTTTGGAAGAAAAAACACTTTAAGGCTGACAGGATCTCGGGTGGTAACACTCTGTAAAGTAAGAAGGAGGAAACTGATTTTGGGCTGATTTTCATCTTTCAAGTGACGTAATTACTGATCTAAAAATACATAAATACCGATCAAAAATACCAGAGCGATTCGTTTGTCAGAAATGCTGTTTTTAAAAGCAGTAAAATAGATGCACGCACTTCTTATTTACATGTTTTATTAGTTAGTTCATATGAATTACTCTTTTTACTTCATACTTTATTATGTTACTGTAATAAAACTTTGTCAGTGCTATCTTTTTCAATTGATTGTATATTGTATTCTAGTGTAATTAATGAATAACTGTAACTGTAAATTAACAGTATAACTATCCTCAATACGCCATTTTCATTTTTTGAACTTATTTTCCATACAAAACAATATTTCACCACATATAAAGGATTCTGTGTATTACAGTTGTGTGGAAATGACAAGTTCAATTTGGGCTGCAAGGAGAGACACAATTCTACTTGTTGAAGTAAAATATAACCTTAATGAAAACTGACCCGAGTCTTTGCATATTCTGGGTTGTTTTGACAGTGTGAATTTTAGATTCACCTGGAGGGGATGCAGTTATTGCCAGGGAATAAAACATAAACTATCTGCTGCATCGATATTGTTTTATTTTTAGAGATCGCATAAAATCACATAAGCTGAAATAACTGGGGTTGCGTTACTCCGTGGCTACAATCAGGTCCACCTAATAATGCATTATTCCCTTATCACCCAGTAAGGACACTTCAAATCAAACTGTGGTGCGAGTCAGGTGGTTTTATCAGCACTTCCTGTATTTGATCGACCTTAACCGAGTGACTTTGACATGACTTTTTCTGCATTTTTACTCATTTTAGAAAAACAGTTTCTGTTTGAAATGCTTTAAAACACAGCGAAAAGAAGAACATCAAAGAGTTCATCCTCAGAAACATCGGAAGACGAATCGAGGAAACGTTGCACATTTCAGACCTATCGTTTCAAGGAAATGCTTCCTCTATACTGAATCTGATGAAACGCTGACGAGTCTAAAGTTCAGACCACAGACACGTAGAAATGATTACAATGTCTGGTAGTTTTCGGTTTCTGCTGTGCGCGCTCCCGCGAGTTGCATGCGAGTCTCAGCGGCCAGACGCAACTCGGCACAACACCATCCAACAGTGCTCGAGTCTGCGGTTGATTCTCCAGCGATTTGATTATTACTGAATCTGGCCAGTAGATGGCAACACGACGCCATTCAACTGATGAACTCCACACATACCACACCACACTGTATAGAACTTCAGCATTAAGTATCAAAGGGCTCTTAAATTGTGCATAAATAGCCTGTAGATCATTGCTTTTGACATGCTTTTTATAGATTTGACTCATATCTAGTTGAAATCCCACCTTTTGTGTTCACTTGCGTACATATTCTCATGCCAAACTCAACTCAGAGTAATCACTACTTCATCTGCCGCCTAAATTCCATCATAATCTTGGAGGAGGAATCACTTCAGCTGTTGGTGAAGAAAGGCAAGCTGGCTTTGTAACCTTTCCATGGTCCGTACTCGTGCTTGAATAGTTGTCTTTATCGTCAGTAATCACTGGGTAGACACATTCACACGTAACCCCATAGAAGGTTTGACATATTTGGCTCATCTCTATAGTGTATTCTAACATAATTTCTGTTTTTGTATGTGTTGTAATAAAAGATATTAAGCATGATGACAAACAATTAAACATTGACAGATATTGGTGTTGCGAATAATAACCAGCCGTATAAATGCATGGTGCACAACCTTTAATGTGTTTACTGAGGAAGGCACTCACATTAACAGTCTATAATTAGCTGCCTCTGAACTAATTTATCAGGGTCTGGCCGTTTTTAAACGTGTGTTTGGTGGCATACGTGAGGATGTGTGTGTGTCAATATGTGAGTGTATGTCCCAGTATCAGTTTTCATCATGTGTGTTGTCCACTTTATTCCCATGATACTTTGTGTGAATTATGCACCCACTTTCAGTTATTCCTTTCACTCAACTTGTGAGGGTTAGTGGTACGCTACAGGTGTCTTCCCTCTTCTTCGAGATTTTTAGGGAACAATGTTTGTGGGAACACAACCTGTATGTCTTAAAAATGGGATAATGTGATCATACATCTGCCTTCTACTGAGGGATGCAAATAAAAGTGTGTTTCCATCCATTCTCCCAGAACCAAGACACACACTTTACACTGAATCACCAGATAAACTTGACTGAGAAACTTTTTTTTCTTCAGAAGAAGTTATCTGTCAGATCAAACAGTGCAATATATTACGTCTATCTCACGTTTTGGAACATTTCCAATATTATCACCCATGGCAAAGAGGAGAGAGCAGAGCCTGCAGAGTAAGATGTTCAAACCTCCAGACACTTCACACTTTTTATCCATCGCTGCACTTATAGACAAGTATATACTTTTGTTTGCCAAAAGCTTCAACAATTACAATTGATTTGATTAAATATATAATGATGTTATGGTCCCTACCAGTTATGACTTATTTCTCACATTCTGTCCGATGGATACCTGTGAGGGGATGACTGGATAAATATCTCAGATATCAATATTACAATACAATAAATTAAGGTTTTAATTAAAGTATGTTTAGGTTAAAGAAGGGTTTGTATTCAGACTATTTAAATATCGTATCTGTGTCATAAATAGTTTTCAATTTTGGTGTATTTATGTATTTATTGTATTGATTTTGCACAGAGCTATAACAGGGAGATGGAGGACGAGAAAAATGGAGGCTGAGATGAAAAAAATGGAAGAAAAATTGAGGACTGCTGCAAAAATCATGGTCCTGAAAGAGAGGGAGTCTTGGAAAAGTGACAGACGGACCATGCAGATGAAGCTGTCCGTCAGTCTCTAAGAAAACAAAAACTTAAAGGTCGACCTCCAGAAGGCTGAAGAGGAGATTGGACAGAGAGAAGACGACATCAGCTCTCTTCATCGCCATCTCTTTGCTCTGACGGAAAACCATGATGCAGCCCTAGTCGCCTGGTGGAAGAAACTCAAAGAAGAGCGTGAGAAGGCAGCGGAGGAAATGAAAAAGAGAGACGAGCCGATCATCTCTTCAGCAGAGCCTCCACACTCAGAAAGAGGAAACCGAGAGGGTGATAGCGTCTGTTGTTGAGTGGGAAAAGGCCAGTATAGGGTGAAGAGCATGGATGAGTGGCAGAGAAAAGCCAGCTAGAAAGAGCTCCTCACTGAGAAGGACAAACTGATTGCCGGGGCCAATGAAAGAATGACAAGCTCGTACCAACGCTCACATGGACACCTTGGCCCAGCTGAATGAGACACAGTCAACTCTGACACAGAGCAAACTAAGATGTGACGCTCTTGAGACAAAATTCAAAAAGCAGCTGGCTGAAAGAGGAGCTCACAGAGAAAAATTTGAGCTTCGGGAAGGAGCTCTCTAAAAGAGAGAGAGAGGAAAGCTACAGGAAGCAGCTGGCAAAGAAAGAGAAGGCATAACAGAAAGAGCTCTCACAGAAAAAAAGAGAGCTTACAGAAGGAACTCTTTGATAAACTAAAACAGTCCAAAAATGAGCTGTCCAAACTCAGAGTTGGCAGAGGAAAGCACAACAATAGGAAAAAGAAATGAGAGATCTGGAGGAGATGCTTCTGGTTAAAGAAAAGTTGTGGAACTTCGAGTAGGCAGACAGGAAAGATGATATCCAACGCCTCATGGAGCAGCACAACCGGCTATACGCTACCTCAACTCATCGTTTTGACTTCTGAAGTTAAAATGAAAACAATTTTCTTTTTCTTTTCAGGAGCTCACGGAAACCCCATAGGGAGGATCTCTGCCTCAAATGCCCCCAAATCCTAGAAACGCCCCTGAGCGGATGGTGCACCTATATTCTCATCAGCCGGGCATGTGGGTTTTTTTGTGTGCTGGAGATAAGAGGAACCCCAACGAACACGGCTGGTCACGCCCATCAAGCCTCACTGTTTTCAGTGATGATTAGCAGTATTTGGCAAGGCACCAGCTGCTGTGTTATGACCAGCTGGTTTCACCCGGTAGGCTATTCTGTTGATATAAATCTTCACTTGTGGCAGATTCAGATAGCGTTTCTCTTTCATGTACATGCAGACGCACACAGAACACGCTATATCCTAAAATATGTGTGACCTCATTAGCTGATTGTGTTGAAATGTGTGTGAATAAGACTGCTGAACGCAGTGGTCCCCGTGCGTAACGGTGCGTAAAAGCGCCACTTAACAACGTTCCGCGCGTTCTACTGCGCCAAAGCTGTATCGGAAAATGTCCCCCTTGTCCACTCAGTCGTTGCTCCGCATGGAAACGCAAAAGTGAGCAGTAAATTCAGATTTCGGACACTTATTGTCATCATTTTGCGTCATTACTGACAGTCGAGATGCACAACATTGCATTGTGGAATTGTGAGCAGAACCCTCACATGGACACTCACCCACAGCGTCGTTTTTTTCTTAGACACTGAAGTTAGTGCTAAATGACAACATCCTATTTTCGACGTAAATAATGCACTTAGTCACGTGCTGTATAGCTGACAACAGTAAAGGCCCAATTCCGTTTTATTTTTCTCATATTGTCTACAACAGACCCGTTGTAGACATTAAGAGAGAATATCTCAAATGCTATATGCCATATCCAAATTGTCAAAGACATTTTTGCTACTCAAAACTGAGCTAAAAATCATACATACGCGCTGTAAATTAATATAGCTTTATTATTTCGAATCAATTGCAATTCAGTCCTTTAAAGACCACAGCAAGGGTGTATAATAAAAACAGCAGGTTCAGTGTTTTCTATTATCGAAAAAAAAATTGTAAAAGCAAACTCAAGTTCTTGGAATGAATGCGGCATTTTGGTCCACTCCTTAGCGGAACTAAACGCAACCACAAAGGCGTTTAGTCGCATTCAGGTTTCATTAAAGAAGTTGTCACTTCTTGGCAGCAGCTCTGGTCCTGGTAGACTTGGCAATCCTGCGTTTGGCCTTTTTAGGACTCCTGGGCTTCTTGGCCGCAGCGGGCCTCTTGGCAGGACTCTTTGACTTCCTCTTTTTCTTAGGTGTCTTCTTGGCTGCTGGAGTGGCACCTCCAACTGCTTTCTTCGGGCTGGCCCTCTTGACCCTTTTTGCCTTTGGCTTCTTCTTCTTCACCGCCTTCTTCCGAGGAGTAGGGGGGTTCTTGTTCAGCTTGAAGGAGCCCGAAGCCCCGGTGCCCTTGGTTTGGACAAGGGATTTGCTGGCCACCAAGCGTTTGATGGCGGTGAGGATTCTGGCTTTGTTCTTCACCACGTCGTATCCTGCGGCCTTCAAAGCCTTCTTCAGGGCTGCCAGGGACACGCCGCCGCGCTCTGAGGACGCGGACGCGGCCTTCAGTATCAGATCTGACACTGTGGGACCCGTCTTCTTCCTTTGAGACTTGCCTCTCTTCTTGGGAGATTTGGCTGGAGCCGCAGAGGGTAAAACACTCACAGCAGAAGCCATTGTAATAGCGTTATAGCCAGGATCAAGTGAGTGAGATTGACGGAGCGAAAAAGACAGAGTGATGTCCCAGCTTGCCCTTTTGACAGGTTCATGCTTTATAACGCCCAGATGAGAACCGTGGAGAGTGAGTCGCGCCACCACAGTGCGCCTCTTCTCTCCACCTCAAACTTGATAAAGTCTGTGTTTTCTCCAGCTGGATTATTCTACAAAAGTCCTGCGTGAAATGTTGGACATCCGTATAAAAAGCACATAATACGAATCTGCGTAATTTAAACTGTCTCTAGCTATATTTGTATTTCTTGATATAATAAAATATGTTAATGTTTTTTGTGCAATTATATGTTGGCAGTTGTAAAATGTAATTTGAGGCGTGTAATATTTTTAACATTTGAACATTGTTTCACTCTTCTAACAGTCAAGTACCGATTTTTATTACTGAATAAATAGAAATAGAAATGTGTCTGAAATAATGGCTCCAAAACCTGGTTTTATTACAAAGGTTTTTGTTAAATTAATTAATTTAAAGATGACCAAAGAAGCACATTTGCCTTGCAGACCCGCAAGTGAACTCAGCATAAATATCAACTCATGAAACGCAGCGGCAGGACAGGTGATAATGTGGGATGAAAAAACGTTAAAATAAACAGGAATAGAAGTTGTTTGTCATCGTATGTTATAGGGTGATAATATTACTGTAGGTTAATGTATGTCTACTCTGTTTTGAGTGAGATGGACATCAGCCAGAATGAGAGTTATCTGTCTGTAAGGAGCGGCCGAAGAAACGAATTTAAGATTAATTTCCCGGGTCTTTTTAAAGGTTTTCACTCTTCATCAAATGACCAGTCACATTAATGCGCATGCATTCATATTTAAAAAGAGTTTATCTCATATTAAAGTGCCAGTAGATGGTTTGACAACTTAAAAAAACATTTCATAGGACATTATTCCATAAATAAAACGCAATAATTACATTATGAGCTTTTAACAGCAATATCCATATTACACCAAGCGCAAGTCATCTGACTCACTCTGTAGCGCTTTTGGTAAATGAACAACACAAGATACTCCTAGTGTTGACTGATGAGTATTTGAGATAGGAAGCTCAGTAAGATCTCAAACATAAAACAAAAATGTAACTTATATTATCTGTCACGAAATTACTTGTTTTTACACAATAAATAATTTCACTTGGATCAAATGTCAGGTATTTTCCCAAAAATGATTATGTGATTCATTTTGATTTATTGATGATATTTCCATATTTTAGGGGGTTTCTACAATCATTGGAATTATTATTGTTACTAAAGTAACCTGTGGTACTCTGTTAAGGTGGCAATATGCATATGAATAAACGGATCAACGGATCAACGGATCGAAAGCCAGACAGCGCATTGGACAGTGAATGTTTGTGGAACACGCGTCCGAACAAGTTCTCCCGTTCGCCCCCCAGTGGCTTTAAGATAAAATGGATATATGTTAAAGTCACTACACTTACTTTACTTTACTTACTTTTCTTAGTGCCATGACTCTACACCCTCCCATACAGTAGGGGTCCGTGTACGTTTTAGTCATCTGTTTTACCGTTAATTCGGAAGAACCAAAATACGGAAATACCATGGTATTCTTGTTTTTCGTTTCAAACCAAGAACGGGAAAACGGAAATGGGCGGTCGTATTTCCGTTTTTGGTTCTGAATTCAAAAACGGAAAAATCAAGAACCAAAGTCAAATAAGGTCCGTGTACGTTTTAGTCATCTGTTTTACCGTTCAGACGAAAATACGGAAATACCATGGTATTCTCGTTTTTCGTTTCAAACCAAAAACGGAAAAACCAAAGTCAAATAACGAGCCGTATTTCGTTTTTGCAAATCCCTTTTTTGTTTTTTTCCTTTAAAACGAGACGCAGAGCACAACAGGTAACCCGGAAAGAATATTTCAAAATAAAAGTGAAGACGATATAATGACCGTATGCAAGAAATTAATCATTAATTAATTAATTAATCTGGGCCGATGGGAGTGCGTTAGCATCAGTAGTTGACTACATGCTGTTTAATATTCATTTATCTATGTACACAGCAATAATTAAGTTTTCGATTAATCGGTGCATTGATGCAATACAGTTTGTGCACTGCTGTCTGTCCACAGGTCTGTTTTCGGTAAGTAAGCAATTTATAACCATGTGTGTTGTATTTGTTCTAAAACAGAGTTTTCCTTACACTTTAAAACAGTGTTTGATAGAAAAAATCATTTAGCTGACTATCAATTTTGTGTTTGCTTCTTTAGCTAACGTCACAACAGCTAGCTTAGTTGTGTAGTAACGTAATGTGAAGGTGATATGTATGTTAACATTAAGCTAACATGATATTGCTCTCAAGTGTAATGCTCGGTGAATTCAATTTTAGTAGCTAGCGTAGAGGAGTGGTATTTTGAAATATAGTATTTATAATCATACAGTTGTAAAATAATTAACTAACTGTGTAAAATGTTGGGATTTACTCTAACCTCCTACATTAGGACAGTGTTTGTATGCTCTCATTCACTCACTCTCTGTGCTTTCTCTCCTCACAGGTTTCTATGGATCATCGTTATATCTGGACACTGGTCTTACCTCTAACGTAGTTGTGACATATGCAAGAGTAATTTCCCTGGTTGTCTTGATCGTGACAGTGAGCGTGAACTGTCGGGGAGAGACAGTCACGTATCTCGCCGACACTCACTCTCACTCTCTCTCTCTCTCTCTCTCTCCCTCTCTCTCGAGGAAATACACTCTCTCTCGGGGATGTACAGTCGCGTACCTCCTCAGTCGACTGTATCTCCCCGATTGTCTCTTGAGAGAGAGGCGGTCGGCTCGAGAGTCCTGCACGGTGACATGTCGCTGTGTTGGGCTGCTGTTTCAGTAGTATCAAAAGGGGATGGCCAGTCTTCAAATCATATGCCAACATGCGTTAGGGTACTTCCGGTGTCCGATGTAGGATGATGGGGTAAGATACTGGCACCAAACTCCTGTCGTGCAAACCAGTAGCATATCTGACCTGTAACTTTGGATTCAGAATAGACTTTGACTGCTACCACTTTTCATAATTTGGCTCAGGATGTTTGGTGCCACCATGATGATTTTAGGATTACCAAATCCCTCCTTGAATATCAAACTGTTAGCATTGATTATTTACTGAGAGTAAAGTACAGTACAACTTAGGGCTTTGCGTAGAGGAGTGATATTTTGAAATATAGTATTTATAATCATACAGTTGTAAAGTTTGAGGATTTACTCTAACTCTTTTTTGTGATGTATGTCATGTTATTTCAAACTAATTTGCAATCATAAGAAGTGTGGTCTTTGTTGTTGAAATGTTTCTTATATACAAAGAACAATTACTTATCGTAAAACTCCAAAAATATAGTCGAGTAAAATCTTTTAGCTGTGATTTCTAGAAACTACAGGTCTGATGAGGAAAGTGGGAACAGGTGTGTAGGTGGGAGGGGATGTCATGTGACCAGGACTGGCAGGGGCTGGAGTGAAGGACAGAGAGCCAGGACGGGCAAAACCACCAACCCACTAGAAAGTCTCTGACCTCCCTCAAACTTCTCAGACAGTTTAAGACAGGATACTATAAGACCTGTTGGGTCAAGCTCATATGCTGGCTGACACGCTACATTGACACGATGACATGGTCAAAAACTGTTAGCTTCCTGTCCACACACACCTGATTCTCATTACCAGGCCCTTACCTATATGCACTTTAGGTCAATGTGCCACCCACTGTTCAATGTCAGAACTGCATGTGTAAACCCACCCCATGTTTCCCTCAAATACAAAATAAAACAACAAAACCACATTATGGCTCCAACAGTAAGTAAGAAAGAAAAGTTAATGTGAGTTGCAGTTGTGTGCACTGATGTCTTAGCTAATTGTCACCGATATGTTAGCTACAGAAGCTGACCATCAAGGAGCACTTTGTTGTGCAATAACGTCACACTCAGTTGCAAACTTGTTAGTGACACCAAGCTAATGCAGTCTAATATAACACAGCCTGGATACATCAACACATCTATTTAACAGTTTAAAGATGAACTGAGCATTATAAAGTACACAAAGGGAGGATTCAATGCAGGACTGTTGAGTGTATGTTGCTTTTTTATTTTAATGAGCAATGTGAGTCATTTGAGTTTGTCAGCTTGGTAGATTGTCTTCTATTGCCGATCTTAGTGGCTTCTAAGGACCCAAGAAAAGGTCTTAAGTCATATATTAAAAGAAAAGATATTTGACACATTCAATTGATAGATTTTAAATTTACTTTAGCATAAAGTCCCTCCAAATATGACAGAAGGATGGAGGCATTAAGGCAAGTTGTATGTGTTTTACTGCTGATGTTCACTCACTAACTCATGTGACATAATCCCATCTGTGTTTCTGCCCTAGCTGAACTGATTGAAAACATGGATAAGAAAGCAACATGGGACCGCTTCTACACTGAGAGCAGCAGCAGCACAAACACCTTCAAACACTTTGAGTGTTTCTTTGGCTTCGATGCTGTTTGGGACTTCATTATGCCCCTATTGCAGACCAAGCCCCACCCAGACGGTTTGCTCCAAGTCCTGGATATGGGCTGTGGCACTTCTGCTTTAGGGCCCTGTATTTACAGACACTCTCCTCTCCCGGTCCGGGTCACTTGTGCAGACATTTCCCCCATAGCTGTGCAACTAATGCAGGAACACGTCCAAACCAAAGCCATTCAACCTCACAATCTTTCCTCTCGGCTTGAGTTCGTAGAGCTGGACTGCACACAGCTCCACAAGCACTACGGTTGTAGCAGTGTGGACCTTATAGTTGATAAGGGCACCACAGACGCCTTGTTGAGGTCTAATGAAGAGAAATGGAAGGCCAATCAGGTGCTGAAGCAGTGTTTGAAGATGTTGCGGAGCTCAGGGTCTCTGCTCCAGTTCTCTGATGAAGACCCTGATGCCAGGCTGCTGTGGCTGGAGACAGAGGCACAGGAGCCGGGGGTGATGGCAGCAGATGTTGGGGTGCAGGAGGTTGGGGAGCTAAGGGGAATGACTTACTACTGCTACCAAGTGACTCCTCGCTCTATTGTGTAGCAACTTTCTTCATCTGGATGGTGATAATATTAAATGAGTAAACTACTGAACTGATTGTAAAAAGTAATTGATCAGGTACACAGACAGAGTGTGACTTATCCACCAAACTGGACCTCCACAGTCCGACAGCAGAGACAACAAGAGACTTACTACTTATAAAATAACCTGAAGGTAAAGAATGACCTCTTTATGAAATGATAAAAGTTGACAAACCACTCCTACGCCAAAGGAGATCATGGGAGATCTTTGTTATTTATTATTGAGGAGCATAAGTGGGGACTGTGGTCAACCAGTAACCTTTTTAATGAATCCAGATTCATAACAGCCTCACAATTCCTGTGAAATGCAGTCATCCATGGATCTTGATAAGATACCGCAGGATTCTAAGTACAATTGTTGTGTCATGGGTAACTTCAGATAAAGTTGCACACCAAAGATGCAATGTCATTTATTTTGAAAAACTGACCAAACAAGGTAATCTTTTCGAAATCAAAGTGGATCCAAAAGCACATCAAATCAAATTAAGTTAAACGTATTTCCATAGCTCAATGTTAAAACGTTTAGAGTTAAAGTCCTTGGATTTAAGATGAATTCGCCTGTGTGTGATTGTTTCCCCTCCCCTCGGAGGAAGTGGTATGTGATGTGATGTGATGTGATTCAGAGGGGGGGGGGGCTGAGCGGTTGTAGGACCTGCTCTGTTACATCTCCTCCCCAAAGCATGTGACCATGTGACCACAGTCACTGCAGGCAGACAGACGGAGAAAACTTGTGACCAAAGGCAGCAGGAGAAGCAGACTCAACGGTCCCCCCTTCACTCAACCTCTTCATCTCCGCCAGACAACATGGACTGCGGGATTTTCACGTCCAAGACCGTCCTCCTCTTCCTCAGCCTGGTGTTTTGGGTAAGGCGCGGTGTTATTCCTCCACCTGCAGGGAATCTAATTCATACCGATGTTCTCTTTAGGAAGGAGAACTGAAAACGGCTTTGCCACCGTACTATCCTCGCCTTTATTTCCGTGGCTCGTCGCTATTTGTTGTTCTGTAGTCTGTGTTTCGTGGGCGCTTTAAATTTACACCCTGCAAATCAGTTATGTCCTGATAAACATCTTAGCCTGCCCCAGTTTTCTGACTGGTGGAGTCGTTATCGCTTCACTGAACTTCCTCATTTTGACTCTATCTCGATATAGTTCATATATCTGCGTAGGCCATTACAAACGTGATTGAAATGATTCCTTACAGGCTATATGAGTAACATTTTCCAATCATGTGCATTTAGGTCCAGCTGTGGTCAGGGTGACTGAGCGGGTTTATCTGTCACATTATCAGCCTGAACTCTGACTCACTTAGTTTGACCAGAGTTCATTATGTGGGTCTGTGTATTGTTTGCTCAGCCAATTCACCACGACTCTCCCCAGCTGTCAGCCACCCCTTCAGAGGAAACGCGTTTGAAAGGACTTCAACTTTTCTGCCCTGCTGTGGCTCTTGTGTGTGTAATTTGATTACTGTGAGAGAGAAAACTCTGCATTTGCAAAGGAAAACATAGAGCTGGTTTATCCACTTTATACTTCCACATTCTCAGACTTCTCTCCAACCTGCAGCGTATTGCTTTCTCGTAGCCTCACCCTTCTGGTTTCCTCACCTCGAGCAGGTATATTGATTTGATTGTAGGTGTCTTTTCTTGTTTTTCTCACCAGTCGGGCATTACACACAGCATATCCCTACAACAACCTTATGTGACACACATTGAAGCGTTCTTGTTGCAAAGCAGTAAAAATGTATTGAGAGACCTCAAAGCTTCACACACATCTGGATTGGTCCTGTTTTTCTCCAACAGCTCAGTTATGTAGCCCGCTAATCTAAACAAGCTAAATCCATGTATTAGAATCTAACAGTAAGCAGGCCGAGAGTAACCAGTACGGTACTTTTCGGTTTGGTTTGCTTTTAGCATCAATTTTTGTAGTCAGCTTCACCATCATTACTGAATCAAGCAACAGTGCTGGTCTACGCTGTGAGAAAGTGCACATTTTGAACAAGGTTAACTGTAATTTGGGTATAGGAGATGGTTATTGAGAATTATTTATTGTTTTATCATAATTAAAAAAATATATTCTTTCACTGTAAACCCTGCCTTCCTTACTAAATCATATCGTGCAGCTCAACATTGTTCAAACCCCCCAAAAGGTTTATTTTACATTCTGAATTTTCAAAAGATTGCAGATAGTTCATAGGGAAGATGTGTTCAAAAGCTCCACTGAACAATTAGAATATTTTTGATGTGACTGTAAGAAAAATGTTTTTTTCCCTGTTCAAATTGGGTGATTTAAAGGCGAAGATCACAAGTTCAAAGGTCAATGTGCTATGAATGTTTGGAAGCACACGAGCAGAAATATCATGTCCTGCTTTCTCCCCCAAAACTAACATCAAGTCCTCCCCCTGGACTTTGGTCTAAGATACAGTACTAGTACGTCTGTCACGCGGGTCCTGCTAACATCACCGAGAGATATCGCCTCAGAGGTTTCTCACATTCCAGAGAGGTGGCACCGTGCATGGGCGCTGTATGTTGTGTAAGCCTCTTTGTGCTGCTTCTTAGGCACAGGATCAGAATTTCTGGAAAGATTAGGGGTGAGCGGTGGGGGGGGGGGGTGTAGCGTAACAACCCCACAGTGAATCTCGTGACTTTGGAGTGATTAACAGAAGTGAGTCATGTGGCTGAAGTGGAGGATGGATTGTTAGGCTGCACATAACGCATATGGAAACAAAGACAAGCACACAAACTATAACTCGCACCATTACAGAGGAAGTGATACTGAGAATGACGCCGATCCGCAGACACCACGAGGGGTGATTTCTGACTTTAAGTAAGAAAGGATAGCGGCGCCGTCTTTTTGCCACACATTTAACATCCATCGTGCATATTTGCCTGACAACATATTCTCATATTCTAGCTGAATATGATAGCAGGATTCACACAAACAGTTACAGTATACAGTCCAATCTAATTTGCTGTTTAGATTCTAAAGTGTTATTTATGTTTTCTTTCCTCAGCAGTTGATTTTGTTTTTTGCTCATTCCCCCCCCCCCCCTACTGGGCTTCTTTTATCACAGACTTGAGTTTCAATACAGTGAGTTTCAAACTGTTGATGGGATAAATACTTAAGAGCCATTGTGTTTTCTTAACAGTCATCTCTGTTTCTGTAGCTTTGACTGTCGAGAGACTTTGGGGGTTTTTTAGAAGCAGAACTGCGTCATTTTGCAATGAAAGGAACAATCTGTTTCAAAGCGGCTGGTGTGATTCCAGTCTGTACTGTGTGCGCAGAAAATTGGCCAACCAACACGCACGTCTTGTGATTGGTGAGCTCACTGCTGAAGTATGAAAAGCATAACTACTAATGCCTACGTCACAGCTGAAAACACATCAGTGACCGTCACAGCCTGTGTTCATCACATGAGATCACAGCAGATAATAGCGGGAGATCAAATCTCTTTCTGATTTATCTAACAGTCTTTCAGCAAGCAGCTGATCAAGGTTACTTTCCTAACTTTTTAATTTTTTAAACTGTCATGTCTGCAGAACAAGACCAAACTGACTTAAATGTCATATCAGTATTCATGAATGGAAGATTTAAAAGCGGTTGTTTTCTCTCAAATGTGTGCTATTTGATGTACAGAATATGAACATGTTTTTAGCTACAGCATAGAGAGGAAAAGACACATCATGTGACAAATCCATTCAGTTCTATCGGTGTGTGTGTTGCTTTGTTAAATGCAAAAAATTAAGTACACTAATGGTTTGATTATTCCCAGAATAACAACTATGTCAAACATACAGAATAATAGGAAAACTAATGTCTTCTATTGATCATTAAAGAAGAAAAAACATTTTCTTCTTTGTTCTTAGCTCTTAACTGATTATACATGTAATAGAAAAGCATTCTGATCTGTATGCAGACATGTTAAATGTTTATTCTCACCATAACATATGGCTGAATTCTCAATTGTGAGTTAACACCTTGATGTGTAACATATGTTGTTTCTCCTCCCGGCAGGTTGCAGGAGCGGCGTTGGCCTATGTCGGTGCCTACGTGATCAAGAGCTATGGCAACTTTGACAGTTTCATTCAGGACAAGTACGCATTGGTCCCAGCAGCTATCATCATTGGCGTCAGCGTGGTGATGTTCATTTTTGGTCTGGTGGGATGCTGCGCCACACTGTGGGAGTCCAAAGTCGGGCTTAGCTTCGTAAGTGTGTGTGTGTGTGTGTGTGTGTGTGTGTGTGTGTGTGTGTGTGTGAGCGAGCCTTCATGAGCTTTTTGTTTACCCTTTCAGTTTATTTTATGCACTCATTTTCTCCTGTTTTCTCTCACTGCAGTTCTTTCTGATCATCATGGGGATCTTTGCAGCAGAAGTGGCTGCTCTGGTATTTAGCTTCATCTACCAAGGCAAGGTGAGTCACAGATATATGTGTGTTCTGTCACATTGGGCCTCATTCACCAAATCTCTTCTTGAAACACACATACACGGTTTTCACAATGATTATGACATTCACCAATGTTTTTCTTATTTTGTTTAAGTTAGTGCAAAATTAATGGTTATTGAATTTTATAATAATTTCTAATATTTTTAATTATTTTCATTACTGCCTATAATGATTACGGTTATGGATCAAAAAACTTGGGACAGAATTTTACTATAAAAATGCTGTTTAAGTCATTTACTTATAGTAATAAAGTAGCCACTTACAGTGTTCATTTTGGGTCTTTTCATACATTGACAGGATATATTAAAAAAATTATACTATGACTCTATTTTTATATTAAGCAATGATGGCCTACAGTTTATATTCAGGCTTGATAAGAATTTAGAAATGCACTAAAACATCCGCCAGGCTGTGGCTTAGTAGCCTATTTGCACTACTGATGTAACTGTAAATGTAAACAGCACAATACTGTGTTAGGCTAGAGCCTGATTACAATTTGAAATACAATAACATATATTTTTTTTTTATATAAACATCAAATGTAGATATTTGAATAATGCACAGTACAGTCATTTGAAAAGCTTTTGAAACACTCAATAAAATTCAGTAAATAGCAAAGCTGTCTATTTCATTACTTCATAGAATAAATATACAAATGTCAATTAGGTGGTAATCTGCATGAGAAATAAGGAAAAAGAAAGAAATCATTATAATAATCATCCGCTTATAGTAATCAATTCGAGAATCGTGATCACTACAAGAGGTTTCCACTGTATTTTACAAAGCATTATAATCTATTACAATATTAAAAATCACTACACTGACACGCTCACACTGAACGTGTGACGTGCACCTTCTTTCTTACCTTCACTCCTGACACTAGTAAAGTACCATAAGTACCTCCACTTCAGAGACACACGACCCTGTAGGGTGTTTACCAGTGCTGATTAGGATCGACTGGCAGGATGTTTGCTGCTGACAGTATGTTGTGAATTTTATGTAGTTTAAATTCTGCTGTGGCACATTTGTACGCAGCTGCTAACATTGTGTTTTATTCTTATGTCTGTCCAGATAAACGCAGACCTGGAGCGCTCCATGAATGATGTCTTCATGAAGTATGATGGACAGGGTGCTGAGACCAGAGCTGTGGACTACCTGCAGACTCAGGTTGGTGTCGTATCCTACTGTCTATAAATAGCTCTGGTTTCTCAGTACTTGCATTCTCTCTCGCATGCTTTCATTTCCTACTCTTGTGCTTTCATTTTACTCCTCAGTCTATATTTCTCTCTCTCACCTTTTAAGACACAGATACTAAAACACAGTATATTGTTCATTTTGTTGGTGGTATATATTTTTTTTTATTACTTGCTAGTACTGTATTTCAATATCACAGTATATGGTAAAAAATATCATGTACTGTTCCTAATGCACCAAATTGACAGCTCTGGGTCTGTGAGATGTCATTCTGGGAAATGTAGTAGTAGTAGTAGTAGTAGTAGTAGTAGTAGAAGATTAAGCAGGTGGATTGAAAGTGTGAGGGTCAAAAAATATCCAAGACATCATCACACATTCCCAAATAACTTTCTGTACGGTGACTCGCTTAAACATTATAGGTTGATGATGCAACCTTCTCATAAAGTGTCAGTCTTTCCTTTTCTCTTTTTGACTCATTTTGTTGTCTTTTAGTTATATATTCACTCCTGTCTGTCCCCTCTTTGTCTTTGTGCAGTTGCAGTGCTGTGGTGTCATGAATTACACCAGCTGGTCCAACACCACCTGGTTTAGCAGCAACAACAAAACCGTACCTGCGTCCTGCTGTAAAAACACTCAGTGCACTGGCAGACTGGACCAACCGGACCAACTTAACACACAGGTGAATACTGCGGAAGCACACATTCCTCTAGTTGACGTACAGTAAATACTGTGTGTACATGCGGTTACATTGAGCTGTTTATTTGGTATTGCTTTAGAAATGCTTTTATCTGCTTCTCCAACTGCGACTCGGAGAAGACTTTGAAACAGGATTTTATTTTTCATTGAAAGCTTTTAGGACTCAAAACATAAAGTCTACAAACAATCTCCCACCACCGAGGCATTAATGCAATAGCTACCCTTCAGACAGACATTGTTCAATGATGTACACAGTGTGCACTCACTGTACTTGTGCGTGTATTTTAGGGTTGTGAGGTGAAGCTGGATCGCCTCCTACAGGGTGTGTTGGGTTACGCCATGCTGGTCATTCTGGGCTTCGCCATCATCAAGGTAAAGACGGTCCACATCCAGTTCAGCAGCTGTGAATGAGCGTTACTGTAATTCCCACTCTCTGTTATCAGTATGCAGTGTGCGACACTCAATGGAGTCGTCCATTACACCACTAGCTACTAAATGTGTAATATGTTGAATAATCTATTCAAATATACAAAATTAAAGTACTTGACCTGGTCCCGTCACATATCACATGAGCCTCCAGAAAGATTTTAAGAGCTCGAGTCTGACTACCTTTAACTTTTCTGTTGCAGTTCTTTGGGATGCTGAGCGTTTGTGTGATCACCTGTAAAACCGGCAGCCGGAGGAGAGGCTACCAACCTCTGTATGCCTAAACCACTTCATGCAACCACCTACCGCCTCTTCATTTAGCTTGACTAGGTTTTACTGACAACTCAATCAGCAATAACACATCCACGCCTAGTTTTATTTAAATAATGGCATGTAAAGTACACAAAAGTGGCAGACAGTGTCTCGATATTAAGGGGATCTTGCCAGAGCGTTCCTCCACATATGAAAGCAGCACGAATGTTCCTCTGACTTGTTAAATCATTTTGCTGAATGTGGTTTTCAATTTTGAGTTATTGTTGTCTACATTTTCCACTTTAGATATTTTCCATAAGGTTGAGTGGCCCAAGGTCTCTGCACTGGTTCAGCCCAGCTACTGTGTTATTCTCCGATGAAGGACTTCAAACTGTATTTTAAGCTTTTTGTGATTGTGAACAAAAGGACAGCGGTTTAATGTTTTCTTTAGGGTTGCAATATTTATAGCCAACTGAGTGACTCAATTGAATATTTAAAAGAATATATATATATATATACACAGACGCATGCACGCACGTTTTAAGGTCAGTTAACTATTGAGTTATGTGACAATTCTAAATAGCTAGACTTTGGTTGTGTTTATTATGTTTCTAAATTAAAATGGGTGAACATTTCACAATAATTTGGAGTTTGGAGCAGTTCATATCACATCATTGGTGTTGTTTCCTTGCCTTCAGTGGTTTTTGTGTTTTTACAATCTTCCATCAGTCTATATAGATGGGCCATACTGGCAGTTGAACACGTGTATTATGTGTAATTATGAAATTAGGGGGAAACGGCTGTGTCTAATCCCGTTGTCCTGTTGTGTCATTTCCTAGCCTATTTTCAAAATGCAGGATCATTTAACAGCAGACCAGTGTTGCAGAGCATCACATGAAACGTGTCCCAGAGCGGTTGTCTCTCTTACCTCTTGACTCTGCTGATAAAGAGGCCCTGAGTGCCGTACATACGGAAGATAGTAGCGTTCATCTTACATAAACCTTGTCAGTGTTCAGAAAGATTAATGCCAGTATATGTCCATGCTCATTATAGTCATCAATCATTGCAGAGCTCAGATTAAAGGATAAATCACCTGTTGATGAGGCTGTGGATTCAACTCTTTTAAACCAGTTTAATTCAAATCTAAAGTGTTTCTTTACCATTTTCATGTGTGATGCATTCAAACCAGCTATGTATCAACCTTATTGTCTCCCCATTATAGTACCCATTAGCATCAACTGCAACACTTCATAATGCATTATAGCCTGTTTCTGTTGTATGTGTAGTGGCAGTAACAAAGAAAATCCTGCAGGTGGTGTTAAAGAACCTGCTCTGAGTTTAGAGTGAAAACCAGCATTTGTCGTGGTGGAGGGGCCTAAAAGATAACTACTCTGTTCGAAGGTAGTAGAAGATAAATGAGTTATTGTTTTTGTATATTTAAGGACAAATGCATGCAGGAAGTCTGTGTTCAAACAATGGTACACATATGATTTGCAGATGTTTCAAAGCTCAAAGCCACACAATTATTTATCTACTTCATATTGACAAAACATTTCGCGTGTGTGCTGCTGTATTAATGACCTCCACTTAGGTCACTGTAAAGGACCTTGCTGCCCTGCCTCAGTCAGTGTCCCTCTCGTATCGCTCGACTGCATATCTTATTCAGTGCATATCGTTGCTGCTCCGCGCTGTGTTGACATTTAGACAGGCCCGTCCTTTTCAGAGAGGACTGTTGGCACACACAGGACAAGATAACCTTGTCGGCTCCCTCCTCCCTTAAGCTGTCTGTCTTTCCCGTCTGTTTATCTCCGTGTGAATGTGTCTGTTTCTCAGCTCACCTTTTCTCTCTTGTCATGCATCTTTCTCTACCTTTTTTTTTTTTTTCTTTTTTTTTTTTTCTTTTTTAAATTTGGGGTTTATTTGCATCCTTATTTCCTACCAAGACCACCTATCTGTTTTGTCTTCGTTTTGTTTTTAACTTCCCTCGCTCTGTAGTATCCCAAGTGTTCAATCTGAGCAGAGCAGCTGTATTTTGAAGTTGATTATCAGTAAATAACGCAAGAACAAAAACCAAGAAGATTTTTATTGATTATTAGTTAATTTCGCTTGCTCTATGTGGGCCAGTAAGGTGAACGCTTACTTAGGGGTTCTGACAATAATATATAGTTATAGATACTTTTCACTGTTGGGGCATTTTTCGATTGCTTTTCTAATTGTCTTTGTATTATAACTAAGGTGTAGGTCTTGGTGGGTGTGGATGTTTTGATGTAGGATTGTGTTGTGTTTTGATGTTCCCCTTGGTTTAATATATTATTATATAAGTTATAAACAAGGTTACCAAAATAAAGACAGAAGAAAGTAAACCAAGCCTGCGAGAGAAAGCTCATACACCTTGCTGTCATCTTCCCCTTTAATTACAGGGGTGTTCTAGTGATTTTGGACCTCTATAAAGTTTGGGGACCCTTCCTCCTAAATGCCCACTTTTTTCAAACCCCACACGACCAGTTTGTAACGCTGGCTTTCTGTCAAAAATGTAAAGTCTCAAGCCAACTCTGAAATAACAGGCCTAGTAGTATCCTCCTTGTAGCATTTGCTATTCCCTTATGAGTTATCATTGCACACCTACAGATGTGCCCTCATCTGTCTGTCTCTCTCCTGTTTGGGCCGTCACATCTCTGGAAAAATATTCCTCACGCACCCAGCGCGAGTGGACTAAACCAGATGTTGTCACATGGAAATTTCAGCCTGACCTCTAATTTATTTATTTTCTTTCCTACTTAGACAGGGATCTGTTTGAGGGAGGTAATCTGAGGACGCATACACAATACTGCTGCTCACTCTGTGCTGAAGGTAGATCAACAGGCAGTTTCTCTGTGACTGTGTCCAGTGAATTCCTTCATGACTGTAACATTTCTAAACTAAGTGCATTTTCTGGATTTGCTTCGTTCCAAATCTGCCAGATTTTACATCAAATAAGTAGCAAAGAACCCGGCTTACATTTCCAGTTTGTTTTGGAGCTGTAGCTCATAGTAGATAATGTGGACTTTTCCTCCTCTTTATGAGGCATTGATACAAACAAACAGGGAAAAGGTGTCAAGGTTTTATTTTGATTCCACCTTTCTTTTCAGGGCAGACTCACAAAACGTAATCACACATTGTCACGGTCAGGAGTGTGTGTTTGTGTAAATAGGCACCCACCACTGACACTTTCATGTCTCCATTTATCAGATGTTATCATTGTTAATTAGAGAGGGCAGAAATGCAGCATTTACGTAGCTTGTCTACTGCTGCCTCTTCTTTTCTTCCTGTACTTGTATTTTTCCTTTTCTCTTTTTTTTCTGGTTTGTTTCTGTGTTTATCATGAGCAGAGTTATTTAAAAGATGCCAGTGATTTCTATCTAGTTTTTGCCTAACCTCCAGTGGCTAATGACTTTCCCTCTGTCTCCAGCTACTATTCCATTTGAAGTACTTATAGAAGAACCTGTGTTACTCCCCTGGAAATAGTTTCAGGGAATTTAAATCACAGATGTCTCAAATTACTTAAAAATGCCAACAAGAAGTAATTCTTGTAACTTTCACCTTGGCTGGTACATCATAGCACAGTTTTATTTGCTGCCATCTCATCTATTAGTTAGAAATAACACCAGGTTGTGATGTTGCAGTGCTTCAGAAGCTGTGCCAGTGCAGTAAAATCAAAAATGCACACATAAAACAGTAGAAAGTATTGTTTCGTGCCTTTGTGTGGCACCACTGTAAGTCCCAGTCATGACGAAAACATATCAAAACCCTGACATAGAGACAAGAAGACTGATCGGTCAAAGGCGATACTTTGATGTGAGCTGGTTGGAATGTAAATGATGAAATAGCTTTAATAGCTTTATGGTATTTAATGAATACTGTGTGATTTTGAAAGGGAAAGAAAGGACTTTCATCATTTTTTAATGCAAAATGGTCTTCCATACATTTTCTGACAGCTTTCCTTCTCACCAAATAAAAACATAAAAAAAAATACTTTTCTCTGACGCAACTGCAACAAAAGTATTTGACAATTTCCTCTTCACTACATTCCACTTAGAAAGCTCGTCCTATCTGGCCAACACACAGGAAAAGGTGCAGATACAAACCTGGAAGATGTCAAGTCTGTTTGAGAGCTTCACAGTTGTTTGGTAAGGGGTGAGCATTTCTCTGTCACTTTCATTTTACTAACAGCACCAGCTCTCTGATTACAACCTGCCCTCTGTTACAAAGGAATCACTGACCCATCGTTTGATGGCTTGCATTTAGTAAATTATTCATCAGATTTATACACAACCTTTGAAAATTTAACTAAATGTTTCCAATGAAATAAAAGTAAAAAGACAGTGCCGTCTCCAGGTTGGTGAGTGGACATCTTTAACTCTATAAGGTCACAGGATGCTGTGGATTCCCGTGACCTTAGATGTCCCATCACCCATGAATGTAATTTAATGAAGCCGAAATAGCACACCAGAACCATTCGTGCACTTAATACAATCTCAAAAGCAAGCGGCGATGCATGCAGGCAATCGGCTCGAAGTTGTCTTATAATACACGTCATACAATCTTGCCAAAAACAATAACTCACCGAGCGTTCTGCCTGCTTAGCAGCGCCTGAGTTGCGGTAGGTTAGCAGTTAAGCCGAACACACCGTCCAAAACACAAACTGCAGCTGTGAGGTACACAGCAGTGTGTGCACAAGTCGTTCCGTTAGCTGTTAGCCAAACACACAGCAAACTGTCTCCCATTGTGAGCACAGAGTAGCAGATGAGGGTCGAGGATGCACTTAGCTTTGTTATCACTAGTGGTCCCTACTGGTCAGGGGCCGGTTTAAGAGTCATGAGTGAGGAGTCAGCAGGCAGTCAATGGCTTTATGAAACAGGCAATGAAAGGTGTTTTGAGAAAGTGTGAGTCACCGCAACCTTGAGAGGTTATTGAGCCTGCAGTCATTACTGGGCACTAAAATCTTGTGCAGTTTGCAGAAAACGAGATTAGCCGAGGACAGACACCGAGGTGAACAGTCACTCACTAACTGACGCACACATGGATCCTTCATGACAATTCACTAGGCTAAGAGGATTGTCTGGTAACCGGAAGGTCGACGGTTCGATCCTTGGCTGGGATGTGTCCTGTGTCGAAGTGTCCCTGAGCAAGACGCTGAACCCCTAACGGCTCCCCGGGCTCCTGTCATGGGCAGCCCACTGCTCCCTGTATACAGGGATGGGTCAAATGCAGAGACAAATTTCCCCCTTACCGGGATAAATATAGTATAATAAAAAAATAAAAAGAATTCCACCAGAGATAATAATAACCTCTGACAACGCACAATAATTGTTGTTTTATTTTAATGGTAATGAATGAATTTCCAGTGTAATTAAGCTGTTTTTTTAGTGTTTTTAAGTGTCATCTCACAGAGGGGATATGCTTATATGTATCCCCCAACAGTATAGACTTTCTACATATCTCTTGTACAACTTGAACAAACCTTTATTTCTCATTGGGGTCCATGACATTTCCCCCACATGTCATCCTTGCTGCTGTAATAAAATATTTCTCTCTGAACAAAGGATTCTCTCTTGCGTTCTCTCTGGGGGAATCTCAAACACAAATGCTGCACATGCATGTCTGGATGCATGGTAGACGACTAATGATCAAGCTATGATAATCCAGCTAGAATACGATGGAGGCTGATTTGGACTCTCCTTTAATAGAGTTAAATATGACCCCTCTAACTTTCATATATTGTTACTTTATTTCATCGGTAGGTTTGGAGAGGTTAAGGGTAAGGGCGCTCGTGCGAGAGAGAGAGAGACGGAAAAAAGTGTGAGAGGGGATTGGTACTTAATCATCCATGGTGCAATGGGATAGTGTGTGAAGCCACTGAGGTCTGGCAGATGTATCTGTATCGGGGTGATCCCTCTCTCCTCCCTCCCTCAGATCACTGCTCTGACAGAGAGCGGACAGAGTCGCCCACAATAACCGGCTTTTTAGCAGCCTCTGGCTTATCTCATCTCGACGGATCGCCCCCGGTGTATCATCTAAATCACACAGACATAAGAGGGAGAGAGATGCGGCCGTGTTTCACTTTGCTTTCCTTCCAAGGACCCGTTTCTCTCTTCTATCTTTCCCCCGGATCTTTGTTTCTGGACGGCAGACTGCGGCTGCCTGATGTTCCGGTGAGTAGCTGCTGATGGTTGCTGCTGTTACCTTTCTTTCTTCTTCCTCTTGTTATTCCACACCGAACATATACTAAAACAACGTGAAGCTGGTTGAGAGGGATCTGTTTGTCGTTGGTATACTTATTGTTTCTTTCTTTAAAGAAAGGGGGCTTTGTGTTTTATGCACTTCAACCTCTCTGTTTTTGTTCTGTCAGATGGGGCGTTACTGTATGTAGGCACACAAAGGCAGCCGCATGAAGCCAGTGTGCAGAGAGGATGCAGCGGTTCCCATCTTAACCCAAACTGCTTGAACGCCTGTTGGGAAGTAAATTAAATTAAAAAGAAGAAAGAGAACAGCAAGGGACGCATGAAGCAGCTGCACACAGAGTACAACAGGATGGACCCTTCTCTGTTCCCATCGACTATCATTGGTTCAGTGTAGAAAACAGTTCAAATGTACTGCCTTATCATAAATGAAAGGATGTTTCAAGCCAGTGTGATATATGTAAAAAAAAAAAATGTTGACAATTGGCTTCACAATTGCAAATTAATACATTTTACTGCACTGCATCAAAGAAATTATTATTCTTATTTGTGACATGTATTCTAGTTGCATAGCTTTAAGAAATATGGAAAATAATTGCACAGAGCGACCATCTCCAGTGGTTATGCATTATATATAAAGTTAGCCCAGTGCTGCGCCTCCCACCCAGCAACACTGTCAACGCTTCCTCTCTCTCTGTCTCTCTGTTCTCACCCCACACTCTTTCAGCCTCCGACAGTCAGCCCGATGGAGGTTTTGAAGGCTGTTGAAGACTAGTTATTGAGAGCACATCCCGTGTTTCTAGAAAGGTAGAGGGAGAGAGCTAATACTCAAGCCTGCCCTCAGGCTTTGACAGCAAAGGGATTTGTTCTATGGATTGATGGATTGTTAGAGTTCTTACAGCCCAGGGATCTAAGAGTGCGGGAAAGTGAATGTGTTTGTTTTCTACCACTATATGACCCTTTCAAGGGGTGAAAATATAACTAAAATGTCAGGTAGGTTTATTAATCTTTAATCAGACAAAATTAACGTTATGTTGTGTGATGCAAACGGAAAATGCAACAAGAAAAGTGTTTTTCATTGAAAACAGTGCTGCCCTGATAAACTACTCCGTCCTGTCAAATTGTCCCCCATGCTTGGAAATGTCAGAAGCGTCATACAACAGATATTAAAAGCATCATTGAATTGACGTGATTATGCATTAAGTTGCTGGTGTAGAATAGGTTTCACTGCCTTTCAATGTTATGTAACGGCAACCCTCCTGGGACAGACCCTGTTAACACACTGGCTCTGTTGCTGTGCAACTTTCATCTTTATCTTCTCTCCTGTTCACCCCAGTTCTTCTTTTCCTCTCCAGCAGCAGCAGCGGCAATAGATGTGTTGAGCAACTCACCTAATAGCAGCATCTTTCCACGGTAACCGCCACCTGATGCTGAAATCCCTACATTCATGAGAAGGCAACAGGAAAAGCAATTAAAGGGATTAAACGCATGCACACTTTACGGGGATTTGCCCCGCTGTCCAACTGTGGATCTCACACTGAATGAACTTGTCTGACTGACTCATGGAAGAAGAGGATGAGTCTTATTGAATACAACTCATATAACACCCACCTCCTTTCTTCTACCTCACCATCGAAGGCTTTGACTGGTCGATGATGATTACAGATTTATAAAAAACACAGCAGAGAGAGAGCGAGAGAGAGTGCAGAGCAGAGCCGGCCGTCTGCCTGCTGCTGTCCCATGATGCATCTACACATGTAAGAGCAGGATCAGCCACACAGAGGGCTGTTTCTATGGATACCCCAGCCCTGGGTAGTATTACAGTAATAAGACTCACTGATAACCTCACTATCTCTTGTGCGCAAAGAAAATACGGTGAGAGATGAGAAGTGCATTGCTGCAGCAGACTAAGGCATCAAATAACATCTTTGGATCAGAGAAAGATATCGTCATCAAGTGTCAAGAGGAAAAATGTTGAAGGAAAAACCTGTTATTTTTAAACATGTTCTGTGGATGCTTTATCCTAGTCCTAAACACCCCAAATGTTGTTGTGTGATTCCCAGTGGATTCTCAGCTGGTTCAGTGAAAGGCTGATTTATTAACAATCTACCCACGCCCACGAAGGACAGGAGGAGGAGGTGAAGATGATGCACAAAGACACTACCTAGGCTTGAAGGAAATACCTTCTTTTTTAACCTGCTTGCAAGTACAGCTCGAACTCCTCGGCCCCAAATCTGGATAAAATAATCCTACTGCAATATTTGCGGGTCCCTAAAACTGCCACCACCTCTCACCGGATAAATTGTGAAACTGAATTTGGGTCTTGTCTACATGAAAACAGACATCGATGTGCACCAGCTATCAAGAGAAAAATCAGGTCTTAAGTTGGGGTTCTGGACTCAACAGAAAGATGTAACATCATGTGCATTAGACAATAACAAAGCACGTTTAATCTAAATATTGTGGAGATCCATCAAGCTTGAGGTACCTGGAATCTATCTGTCATCTGTTCACTAACACTTTCAGACTGAGCTATCATGGCCAGACAGGACACCCCCCTCTTCCTCCATGGCTTTGACCTGGGTGGTCACTTTGTTGACCTTCGACCTCTTGGCACGGGTGTTACAGGCCTGGTTCTCTCAGCTGTGGACCAGCGCACCGGACAGCGTGTGGCAATCAAAAAGCTGGTGATGCGGGATGCTGTGACGGTGAAGCACGCTCTGCGCGAGGTCAAAATCACCCGCCGGTTGCACCATGAAAATGTGGTGAGTGTCCATGAGGTTTTGGCGCCATTTGGACGACCACTGCCCAGAGACCCGACCCAGCTGAGTGCCCTGTACATCGTCCAGGAATGCATGGAGACGGACCTGGCTCGGCTGCTGGAGCAAGGTCCGCTAACCACAGGTATGGGAAACAAAAGGGAAAAAATTCAAGCTATAAACAAACACACAGTATTATTATTTTATTTGCACTACAGTGTGGCGCTTCATGTTGAAACACTATTGTTTTGTCGCTGCACTGCTGGTTTTATTTATTGGATTTCATGGCAGTCCTTCTGAGACTCTCTTACTGAGACTACTTTATTCACAATTCACACATTTGAAAATCACATCACGATTTTTGCCCGAAATGTGTTGATTCATTCATTCAGCTTGTTTGCTTCCTTTTCATAAACATGCTTGGTAAGTATTGGAATAATGCAAATCATCATTTTGACATAAGTGCCTTAAAAGTTTTGCCCAAATCCACAAGTCATTACCCAAGTACCGTTCACTCGTTCATGTTGTGACAAATTATTGAGTTAGGAATAGGCATCGTTCTGGTAATTACACGAGTGAGAATAAAAGCGCTGCTGTGTATCCTGACACCTAATTTTTGTCCTTCAACAGGTCACGCTACTCTGCTGTTCTACCAGCTGCTGAGGGGACTGAAGTTCATCCACTCAGCTAACGTCTTGCACAGAGATCTGAAGCCTGCCAACATATTCATCAACACAGATCAACTGCTGCTCCAGATTGGAGACTTTGGGCTGGCCAGAATAGTCGACCCTCATTATTCTCATAAGGTAAAGGGGAAGGAAACCCACTACACAAACACACACCGCAAGCAGAGTCACACTCACACATACAGAAATGATGATGATGGTGGCCTTGGTTATACGCATTATGCTAGTAGTTGGATATCTTATTTCTCAAACTGAAAAGACTTTGACTGATTACCAAACATGACATAGACATTTAAAATAATCAGCAACACTTGTACGAACATTTCCAGCCTTAACCTAAATACTCTGAGTGATCTTTCTGGGGCATGTATGTGTCCAAGTGTTCTTTTGATCAGAGGCCAATAAAGGCCTGTGATCATTATTTTCTTTCTCTGATTTACTTTAATCCATAATCTTCAGAGGACAAGCATGAAAGATTTCTGTCCACATAACATTGGCTGCATTATCTTGTTTTGGTACTTTTTCATACTTGTTTTGCAAAAATGTATTCTACTTTCAATATTCAAGCCAGGAAAATTGATTCAGTTTGGAGGATTTTTGATTCTCCACATTGCAGTCTGAAGCAGTGTGGGCCGTTCTTCTGCTGACGGATGAATCTATGGGATAGTATTGTCATATTATCATTATCTCTGCTGCCTCTCATTGAGGTACAGCTGTTATCAAGGAGGAGAACTCCTTGAACTCCGGGCCTGTGTGGTTATCAGACAGCAGTGCACAAATCCTTGTCCTTGTGTAGCGATGGAAAAACCATAGGATGGGATACTATTGCAAAAGAATCCACCTAAAGAAAATCAGTATGTTTGCACACATGTTTTGTCCCCATCACAATTGAAACGTGGAATAATTGATGTCAGCCTGGTGTCCTCTCACTGTGGTCTCAGGTGACATCATCCGTCTGATTCTGACAAAGATCCAGATTCTAAAAAGTACACCGCCTCACCAAATACAGCCAGAATCACAACATTTCAAACTTGAAACTAAAAGTGTTTTAGGTGTAACTCCTTCACCTCTTTTCACCTCGATTGCAGTACAACCAGGCGTCTTTTTTTCTATTGCATCTCCGATTACACACCCCCATGTCTGATGTCTTTCACACAAGGCCTCCTCTCCAGCCCCAAACCCTGCTATTACAGTAACATCTTCTTCACAAACCTGGTATCGAGTTTTGTGCTAATCAAACTCAGTGATTAGCCTGTCTATTGTACATAAAGGCTTCTGAGAGAATAATGTGACAATTTACTGCTCCATTGTTCTGCTTTATTATGCACGAAGATCCCACAGCAATACTGTAACACTAGCAGGGCAGGATGTGTGTGTGTGTGTGTGTGTGTGTGTGTGTGTGTGTGTGTGTGTGTGTTTGTGTGTTTTTTGGGTCTGTGCATGTGAAGAGGAGCTCTTGCGAAAGGCGATCTTTGTCAGCTCAGAACACGGGACCGGGGATCAGCTGGACGCAGACACAGGGGGTGCGTCTGGAGGGAAGGAGGAGAGGTGGGGGGGGGGGGGCGGCAGAGAACAGATGAGGAGCAAGGGTGATAAATATTGAGTCACGGAAGGGTGAAAGGAGGGGAGGTGAAAAGTACAAAGGCAAAGAGAGAAGGGGGCTGCGCAAAAGACAAGACAAGAAAGTGATTAAACAGAGAAAAAGTGAGAGAGACAAAGGTAGTTTGGGTCATGCAGGAAGACGGTTTACTTCTATCTCACTGCTCCCGTGTGTATGTGTGTGTTTGGGTGCATATTTTGCTTTCACATTGTGTACCTACAGAAAATGCTCTGCCTGTCATAGAACACAATGTTCAGATTACTGCACTGTTGCAAGGTAGGTATGTCAAGAGATAGACAGACAGACAGACCTACGCTTAAATGTTAAAATGTGTCTGTCGTGTGCATATTTTATGCTTATAAACATGCATAATTCACTTGAAGCTATTGTTGATTTATTGAAGATGTAATGCCACAACAAGTACTGCATCTCAGCTCATTCGGATAGTATTTCTCTCTTGTCTGGTGCTGCAGTATCAGCCTCTTTCTTTGCAGACGTCAGCCTCAAAGCTTTGATAATGGGGATGCATTAATAACCAATAAGACTGCTGGCTGCACATTACATTCTAATTTTAAACTGCTGACATGGTTTGAATTGTTCTGCCGTGGACATCGGAAGTTAGTTAGGAGTCTGGCAGCTGATGTGTTTGTAAGACATCAGTTTGTCATTGGTCATTAGCGTTAAGATTGTATTACCGGAGTGTGTGTGTGTGTGTGTGTGTGTGTAAGATGATGCTGTCCTATTTGTGATGCTGTGTTGACACCAAAGCAGATGCCTGCAGTGAATGTGCTAGCATCCTCTCTCTAATTTAATAATGCAGAACCGAAGCGCTGCTTTTTCAAAAAGAAATGTGGTAATCGGCGTGGGTAGTATTGACTTCAGCTGTGATGGGAAATTTACAGATAGGGCTAACTTTCATATTTGGCCATTAAACAAGATTGGTGGCTCTGTTTTTATGTCTCGTTGGCGTTGCTTTCAAATAAGGTCCTTGCATCACTGTTGAACTTTATCAGGTTTTATATTGTCATATTTGGATGATTGCTTATAAACTGCATGTGTGTATATACGTTTGTGTATGTTCATTCATTGGTGAGAAGCGGAGAAGGAATAGGAAGAAATAAATATATATCCTACTCCTTTTCAAACTCATTTATTGAATTTAAGTATATGTTTATTGTCCATGGAATTTTTATTATTTTGTTTTCATCTTTTATTATCAGTTTTTAAAAATATTATAAATAAGTAAATAAAATAATAAAACAGTAACATTGGCTAGTTTTGACTGAACAACTTATTTTCAATGAACTATAATCCCTCCAAAGAAATCACTCTTACATGTTCTTATTGCTTTTACAGTGTCTTACATGGTCTGTGTTTTCTCACTGTGTGTTTTGCCAGCACACTGTGACTCTGCAGTTAGAGTCGAAGTGAGGCTGTTTGACGAGCTGTCTAGATGTGCGCCTCTGACAGGCAAACATTTACTCAGGGAAAAAGAGATGACAGAAAGGTTGAAAGGAGAGAGAAGGGAAACATCGGCCGGGAAAACATTATTTGTGATGCTGTTTTCTGTCAACGGCAGAAGGAACTTGGAGTGTGTATGTGTCAATGTCACCTGCTGAGGCAGCGCTGGATCTGCACAGAAATTATTCATGACCTGGATGAAGGAGAAAAAGGGGGAGGAAAGGTGAATGAGGAAAGGGTATTGGAAAATAGAGAGAAAAGAAGGGAAGGAAGTGACGGAGAAGGGAGTAGGAGCAGACAGGTGTAAATAAGCAGAGTGGAGCTGCATCTGACAAGAAGAGAAGGAGGGATGAAACAGGTGAGAAAGGAGGTGAAGCAAGCGGGGTGGCAAAAAGAGAGAGATGGAGTGAAGTGTGAAGAAAGAGGACAGGGAGGGGAGACAGTCATAGCTGAAGGTGAGATATAAAAACACTGAGATAAATTGAGATTAATGGAACGGATGGAGAGGAAAATGCGAAGTGATGATGGGGGGAGAGGGTCGAGAGGAAAGGAAAGGAGTGAAGAAGAAAGCCAACAAGCATTTTATAATGTTGAATAGCTGTGAATAGTCAGAACATTAAATCTGAGACTACATCTGTGCATAAGTTTGTGAAACAGAGACCTAAATATGTTTCTTTTTCTGTTCAAAGCAGTTTCCAAATCTGTGTCATGATTAACATCAAACCATTTTCCATCCTTAAAATGTTGTCCTTTTGACACAAAACATGGCTACTCCCTGAAAGACACTGTCTTTCAAATGCTTATCAGGACCCAGACATGAGAGCTCACATGTAGAGGCTTATCAGCAAAGAGGGACAGACCATCATTGAGCACTTAGCATCAGTTTCTGCTCTGTCATCTGCTGGCACACAGTCGGTGATGAGGGAGGGCATGGAGGGGGAGGCAGTAACTAAGGTTCAGTAGGGTTCAGTAGTAGACAGCAAAGAAGGAGTAGATAAGCAGGGTACACATAATGTAGGGGTAAAGAGGAAAGGAATGATTGTAGAGGAGAGGTGGCACAAGAGGAGCAAAGGGAAGAAGAGAAACAGCAGGGCTGAAGTTCAATTCATCGCTCCTTATTCACAGATTTAACGATGTTGCATTCTTTGAGTAATGTAACTCCATAGAAAGCTGGCGCGAAAAAACTCAAAGAGCCGTTTTGACGCAAAGTCTTCGGCCAGGCTGAATTTGATGTAGGGGCACGTTGCTGGAAGTGATGTATAAGAGGGAACATCGGCGTGGGTGGCCCACAATGAGTGAAGGCTCTGAGTCATGTCCTGAACCTGCTGATCAAGACAAACCTCACAAAAATGATTTTACCTTTTTCAAATATGAAGAGAGAACTAGAACTTTTCAGCTGTCAAATGAAATGTAAAACCATTTTGGGCCAAAATGTAATCATCATCGGGGCTATGCCCTGCTTAGTGGGATGACATGCTGGTGTTACAAGTGGCCCGAGATGGCCCAAGAAACTCACTGAGCAATTTAGCGTTGTAAGTGAAGGGAGTTTGAGATTTAGTAAGGTTGGAGTGGAGCGATTACAGAAAGTGAGAAGTGGAGGGACATATAAGAGGCGATGAGAGCATTGATAATAGCAACAGGCAAAAAACGTCTAGATAAATCTGGTTTGTATGTGAATACACTTGCCTGTGGCTCATCTCCATGCTCAGTGTTATTCGCAAGGTGAACATTTACAAAAGTAAAAGGCAGAAGGGAGTCTTGTCGCAGCAGCCCTAATGAGAGGACGTGTTGTTAAACAGCAGAGCATCAAAGGCTCGGTGAAACTCAGTAACTGCAGGTAGAGATTCATGGGAATGTTTTTAGTTTCCATCCATAGCTGATGTAAACTGATGATGTCTTTTTAAACATATTTATATAATATTTGTATATACACCTATTTCTTTCACATACTTGTGACAGTCCTGTCTATTCTTCACCTTTATTTGTCCAGCTTTGTTGTCTCTGTCCCTCGCTGTTATGTCTTTTTGAGAGCAGTGCAAAAAATTGTAGTCAAATTTCTTGCTACGGGTACACTTGGCCAGAAATACGATTCTGATTCTTATTCTTGCACTACCACTACAAAATGATTACCAAACAAACTGTCAGTCAAGTGCATGCAGGCTTACAAGTACACTGCTAATGGTAAGAACTGTTAACAAGCCAATCTGCTGCATGCTCATCACTAAGGTACTATATCATTCTGTCTTTTAACTTCCCTCTTTCACCTATTTTTCTCTCACTCGCACCCTCGCCTCCCTCTCCAGGGCTATCTGTCCGAGGGTCTGGTAACTAAGTGGTATTGTTCCCCCCGTCTGCTCCTGTCCCCCAACAACTATACCAAGGCCATTGACATGTGGGCCGCTGGCTGCATACTGGCTGAGATGCTCACTGGACGCATGCTGTTTGCAGGTACCTCCACTGTTTGTCACACGGTGTCCACAGAAACACCCATGACCTTGATGTCCTGCAGGAACGTCATGATTTTGCTCATCATTTATTTGATGGCATATTCAAAAATGATTACATCATTAGTATTCAGGAGAAACATCTTATTAACAAAAGTCCCGCATGGTCTTTTTCTACCATCTTAGCAACAATAAACACTGACCTAAATAAGATAGAGCATTTAAATCAGGCTTATTTGAGTGAATAGTCAGGTATTCAAACACATCCTGTGAGTCTCTTGTGAACTTATGTAAAGTTCTTACTTGCAAAAAACAGTGCTTATGGATAAGGTGGCATCAAGTGAGAGCTATAAGGACAGTTTTTCTGTCCAGAGTGTCCTCCACCAAAGATGCTTTATTCTCTTTCTTCAGGCTACTTCTTTGTCTGACCAGAATAGCAATGATGATAGAGAAATTCTCGCTGTCTGAAGCAGATGTAGTTCTTCCTTACAGGCTTTTTTGACCTCCACCAGCCCTCTACACCACAGGAGAGATGGTGCCATAAACTCGATGGTTCCCTGGTGTTCCTCTCTGCTAGAATTTCACACATGGATTGTTAGATATGTTTGCCTTAAGCACCGGAGATTACATGTCACAACTATTTTTGTTTACCATAGGAGAAGCAATACACTTTCATCAAAATACACTACCACGGTTTGCTTGATGCTCAGTGGTGAATGTGTTGATATAGCACCACCTTCTGGTTACCACTGATGGAAACATTTAAAGGGCAAATTCCTAACTCTATCCAATGGGTGTAAAAGGCTGCACTGCTCTGCTCTGAGCTGAAAGGGTCAAGCGAGTTGCATTTCTGCTTACACCACGGTCAGTGACTCCAAAATGTTTTTTCTCCAGCCATCAGTTGTCAAAAGTAAAATTGAGTGTTGAGCTTTACAGCATCTTATTAGTCCAAGTCCGACCCCCAACAAACTCGGTTAGATGTTTTAGCTTATAAAGGTTTAACATTAGGATTGGGCCATGGTTGGGTGTAAATGTATGCTAATGTTAGTAGGATTTTTATATGACCTGCAAGTAAGTGCTGGTAAACAAGTTGCAAGTATTGCAGAAACAAAACTTCCCTGGTGGACAAAATGCTATTTGTGGCCTCATAGTTAGGGTGTGACCAGACCCTACCTCAACAGATCATTTATCAAAGGGAGGAGAAAAACATTAAGATGCAAGAGGTGACATTTTATGTGATTTCAATTACTGTAATTCAAATTTAAATGGCTGCTATAAAGGTGGTGATTTCTAGACACATTTAAATTGAAAACCATTTAAATAGTTGACTGCAGAGTGTTCCACCCTATCTGCATATTTGTATTGAACATTATACCTAAACCATTTCTTTCTCTCGACAGCTCACACCAGTTATTCCTGTGTTTAACTCTAATTGGTCACCTTTTTTTTTTTTTTTTGCTTATGTAACTGATCCTCTGTCTTCTCTCTACTTGCCTCTGATTGGCCGGTTCCCTCTCCCAGGAGCTCACGAGCTGGAGCAGATGCAGCTGATTCTTGACACAGTGCCAGTGTTGAGAGAAGAGGACAGGCAGGACCTGCTACAGGTGACGCCTCAGTGGCTGCTGCTTGTCCTATGTCTGCAAACTGATCGTTTAAATATGGAACAGGGTGTCATTGTCATGCAATGTTTGCAGCGTCAGTCTAAAAAAGATTCAGTCGACAGACAAGGTTAAATGTGCACTCCATTTTTTCCGTCATGGGCCCTGGCTGTGTTTTGCTTTCTACTAGAATACGCTTTAGTAAGCATATTCAAGTTAACATAGTGGAGTGTCTTGAAATGTACAAAAAGAAATAACCACAGAGGAATTATGCACATATTTCAACCTCACTGTCATCCTTTTCCCTAGGTGATGCCTTCATATGTCAGTCATGGATGGAGAGTCAAGAAACCCTTTTCTGAAGTGCTTCCTGAAGTGGATGCTCAGGGTGAGCAGAGGGAATTGAGTGGTGGTAAGAAGAGGAATTTCAAGCAGTATGAAATAGAACAGGGACCATTAAGAGTGAAAAATATACAGAAGAAGCAGCTTCTCTGAGCTGTGAAGGATGAAGAGATGATTGGGTAGGCTGGAGAGATTTAGAGGTCTAGCACAGATAATTTAGCCCTGAGAGAAGATGGTGCATGAGAATATTTTTTTTCAAGAAATGCACTTCATGGATACTGCATATTATTTCACCTCCTCTTTCTCCTTCACTGATCCCTTGTCCTTCTCCTCTCAGCTGTGGACTTCCTTGAGCGTATCTTGACCTTTAATCCCATGGATCGGCTGACAGCTGAAGCGTCGCTATCCCACCCGTTCCTCCAGCAGTACTCCTGTCCAGAGGACGAACCCACCTCATCGCATCCCTTCCGTATCGAGGACGAACTGGAGGACAGCCTCGTCACCGAGCAGAGCCTCAGCAACGGCAACAGTCAGGCCTCCAGCATCCATTGGGAGAGGTGTGTAGATTTTTGTTATTTGCTGGAACAGAAAAGTCTCGCAAAGCATAATGAGACACAATAAACTATTTCTGCTGTAAATACGTATATCAGACTGAATAAACTGCACAGCAAAGTTATTATAAGACTAATATTAATACTTAATTTCTGCCCATCTGCAGGTACGAGAACAGCTTATCAACAGATATATCCTGGCAGCAGTCAGGCGGGAGGTGTCGCTGCATGCCCCCTGGCCACACGACTTCTGACCTGGGAGACACCACAGAGGATGAGGAGGTGCAGAGAGACCCCCGGGCCAGTACCACCTCACTGTTAGAGGAGGCGCAGGTTGGATAAGCTTTGTCATTTCCCCCCATTCTATACTAGTAACAAATTAGAACGAGTCAAAGCACTGAAACGCACAACATGAATATGTCCTCCTTCCCTTTTTTTTTTACCTTCTCCATCCCCTTGCTTCTCCCCATCTATCTTGTACAGGTGGACCCACGTAAGTATTCCCACAGCAGCTCAGCTGAACGCTTCCTGGAAAACTCTCACTCCTCTCTGGAACGGGCCTGTGGTTTGGCGTACGGGGAACTGGACTGTGGCCGCTCCTGTGACTACAAAGTGGGCTCTCCTTCGTATCTGGATAAAATTGCCTGGAGGGAGGGCAAGCCTCAACACTACTCAGAGCCTAAGCTGATCCTGGATCTGTCTCATTGGAAGCGTAACACTAGCAGCCTCCCCGTGCCTGCTGACCCTATTGGTAGCAGCAGTGTGGAAGACCTGGGAGAAAGGAAGGAGGAGGAAATAGAAGAGAAGGAAGAGGAGGAGACAGGGGATTTATTCCAGGAGATCTCTCGCTGGGTTGAGAGCACCCAGTCTCGCCTGCACTCACCCAGTCCTAGTCCTTCTTTGGAACCGCGTTCACCCTTTTGCTTCACCTCTTCTCCCCCTCTCCCTCTCTCCCCAACTGACCTCCCAGCTCCAGTCTTCCACTACACGGAAGTTGTCCGGCAACCATCAGATGAATATGATGAAGACAGACTGAGCCCACTTCAGCCAGTCATGTCTTCCTGTAATTCCCTGCCCTCACTTCTCCCCTCATCTCCCACCTCTCCGCTTCCTCCTCGGTCACCTCAAACAGTGTCTCCCCCGACCTCGCCACTTTTTCTTTCCCCAGAATCTCAACCCCTTTCCTCTACTTCCTCCACTACTCAGCCAGTAAATGATGATTCCTTGGAGTCACTTCCTGTCAAGCAAAAAGAGCGGCTGTTCGACCTGGATGTGTTCATATCCCGAGCACTGAAACTGTGCAGGCAGAATAAGGAGAAAGCAGAAGGGAAGAGAGGAAAGGAGGGAGGATGGAGGGAAGAAAGCAAACAGACAAATATGAATCGAAAGGTGCCCAGGCTTCCAGAGCACAGGACTCCACCACCACAGACTCCTAACTCTTGATGTTGAATTTAAACTTCAGGTCCACCACAGTACAGCTTCATACTGGGGAGCACTTCCAAATGCTCATAGTGCTTTAGGGGTTCTCATGGTTGAATATGATGCTTGAACATTAGACTTTAGTGTTAGCAGTCTTTTTGTCACTATTGCAATGACACGCGGTGACTAAAATTGCTCCTAAACCAACAATCCTGTAGCTTTGTCAAGAGGAGCTCTCAAGCAATAAGAGGTCAGAAAGCATTTGGATTTAACTCAATTAACCATGCTTAGTATTGCAAATATCTAACATTTGTTCTACATGAGAATATTTAGAAATACCACAATCATTAATTAGAAAAGTATTAGTGGTTTGCGGTCTTTTGGCAAGTTAAAGATGGGTCAGACCTTGAATCGATAGCTACTTATTCTGTGACACAAACATCTGCCTGTCTGACTATAACAGTTATAAAGGCTATTTTAGACTGGATAACAGTAACAAATGGTGAGAGATCACCCAATCTGTTTTAAGTTTGTGTTATTTGTGTTTCTAAAGATCCCTTGCTGTGTGTCAGTCAGTCAGTAATCCTTTCAAAATGTCAGACAGTCTTCCAATGGTGATGTCCACCGAATAATGATAATGACACGGAAAATGCTTTTTCCAAATTTCTCTGAATGTATAAACCGAAAACAATCAGCAAAATTATGCTACCTGGTGAACCATAAGGATTTTATCTGTTGCTATTTTACCAGTCCCACAGTGAGTTAATGAGCTCCATCACTGCTACATGCTACTTGTATACAACTGTTGTCATATTTAATTCTATAGTATAATTCCTAAATGAATAATGTTATTGTGTTTAAGTATTCTTTGCTGAATGTTAGGATACAATTTCTGTTTCTTTGGAGTGAGTTGTATTTTGTTTAAATGTGAAATGCTCTATCGTAATAATTTATGATCTAGTTAAATTGCAGTTTCATATCCTGTCGGCCTGATGCACCATTCAAGGTCATCATCTGCTTTACACTTAGTGAAGAGATACTATCCTCTGTAGTAGACAGTCAGATATCTGTCGCTATTTTGCTAACTTAATTGTTAGCCACCAAAAGCTATAATGCTAACAACAGTAGCCTATATTTTGGACAAAGTAGAAGCTTCACAACCTTTATAGGAAATTATTTGTACTCAAAACTCCTCAATGCTGCCTGGTTACCATATTCATTTTATATGGTAAAGAAAATAACCAAACATGTATTTTGAAATACTTTTCTATCCAGCGTGGAAGACAGTAGACCCTCAGAATTGCATTTTTTCTGACATGTGATGTCTTTCCTTCAAGGTAATGGAATCAGGTAAAAGACACAGTCAGAGTGATTGAACAGATGTCGGCTGTAGGCTTGTGCCTCGTACTTTCTCAGTCAAGTGCGTCTGACATTCACTTCACTCTTCAAACTAAAAAGCTGATAGTGAGGATATGGAAACGGCATTAAAATGATTAAGATTGATTAATTGCTGCTCTAGTGCCAAAAAGAAATACAGTTATAATCATGTGTCCCATATTCTGTAACCTAGAAGAAATAGGCTTCCACCATACCTGGTTTCACTGTTTGACATGAAGGTGTGCATGTATACAAGGGTCCAGCTGTTGGGAATGCCAGAGGCACAATACTGAGATGCATATAACACACTGCCAGCACAGCTACAACACCTCAGAATAAGACATGTTTTATCTGTTTAGTGATCTTTCAGTCCAGCATCTGATACCCATTCCGACTAACTCAGTCATTTAGCAACAAGTCTTTCATACCCTCTTACCCTCTATTAATTTTATCCTCTATCCACATCATTCAGTCTACACACAGAACACTAGGACAGCGAGTCTGTCGCAAGAGCTGAGAGCCTAAGTTAAGAAGATATTCACTTTCCCACAATGCAGCAGTACATGTATAACTTTCTCTGTCATTACAAGCTGTTAACTATTAATGCTCATGTGAAGTTGATCTAACACTGTTGACTCTTTCACCGTAGGCAACATTCACCGGTTGTGAGCAGATCATCACTTAGATCATCACATAGGATGAGCCATACGTGAGGATTGATAACAGTACAATATAGCAAAGGCAGGTATATTCAATAGACATAAGCACATTCAATATTAGCACATTCACAAATACCGTTTTTCCTCAGTGACAACTGATACTCCACTATTGTCAATGCTGATTGTTAATAATAATGTACCTCTAAGGTACTATACATAAGCTGGACTGCTGGACTAACTGATAAAAGTGTGCAAGTGAAGTGCAAAACCATCCATTTTCTGATCCAGAGCCATTTATCTATTTATAGAAATGGATAGAAGCTGTGCTGCAGTCAAGCTAATGAAAAGGAGTCTAGTTTTTACCTAAATGATCACATTTAGCATTATACAGTTTCCTCTGCAGGTAACCTACGCCAGCAATAACATCATTGACAAACAACAGAAGCACACATGTGGTTACTGAGCTTAAGTTCATTTGTTTAAATGTGTGAAGAAATCTAGAAAATGTGCCTCAGTTCACCTCAATGCTTCCAGCTTGCTGAATGTAACATATCTTCTCCCCTCTGCATGGCTTTCAAAACTATTCAAAAAGCTTAAACTTTGTTGTTTTTATTATGTGTCACTTTTTTGGATTCATATTTCTGTTGGCTCTTGTGTATTTTGTACCCGCGAAGCCCCTTGGCTTTTTACTAGATGCTCAATATTGATTGATAATATCTCTTTTTGCAGTTTCTGCTGAAGAATTAATAAAACATTACTTAAACTATTGTTTGACCTAATGTTTTCTATTGCTGTGGTGTTTAGATAACAAATATTGCTGTAATTATTTATTCAAGGATATTTTGTATTTGATTAATATAAATATTGATTTTTGCTTTAGACACTGCGACACCACAGTGTTTAAAGCCAAAGCGCAATGTCCTTATACAATGGCCTACACACAACTCACCAGAAAAACATAAACACATACAAAACAGCACAGAGCACAAAGAGAAATACAAAAAATGAAATAACCAATGAAAAGTACTCTGTCATCCATGACAACATGATTGATCCCTAAGCTTGAGTTTGAAATGATCCATTGAAATGACTTAGGCCCTTATCATGCGTGATATTGTACTTTAGTGGTGCATATTCCCAAACAACAGTAATAAACCAAATTACCACAAAACAAACTAAAATACACAGAATAGATCTGGGAGCCTTAAGCAGTTGCCGGGTTGGTAATCCACCCCATACCATGTCATATCGCCAATTTGGGGCAAGATTAGCCCAATGCATTGTGAAATCTGAGGTTAGGTAACCAATTCAAACCAGAACTCTTTTGCCTTCTCCTGTCTAGCAAGTAATTATATAATCTTGTTCCACTCTTCTCTGGTGCACTGTTTTTATTTTTGCTTATTTTGCACAAACAAAACAACAAAAAGGCACAACATCTTAGTATAGATTGTGAGGAAAAAAGGTCAAAATGGTTTGCAGATGGGATGCTAATGAAAGTTATTTGTCATTTCAACCCATATTCTATCTCAACCATATAAAAAATACTGCTGATTAAATTGTCTCAGTCAGACAATAATTTAAAAAAGAACAAAACAGGTAAACAGAACAACGTGCAAAAAATAATAAAGCATGAACAATTTTTTGTTTGCTAAAAAACAGACTTGTCCTCAAAATGAGATGACTGTCTGTTACAGTACTTACGACAGTGCCTCTCCAAAAATCTTGCGCTTGTTACAGTCTTTACGGTAACCAGGAAGGAAATCCCAACATGTGATTGGATGAGCGGGTGAGTTCCTCGACACTGCGTGAGTCTCCTCACACCACCCTGCTGCGTCTGTGGCTGCCGTGAAAGGACAAACCAAGCGGTCAGACAACAGCATTTACACAGCAAACCACTGGAAAAATATGCTTTATAAACAGTAACATATGCGACGGGAGTAACTGCAATATTATACTACTTAAGAGCAGGTAAGCCGAGTCGCTGTTCTCTTATAAATTCCAAGTTTGTGTGTCATCTTAACAACTTTCCGTTTCTGTACCAAGAATGAACGCTAGTGCGTAGAGAGGTCTGAATGAATGACAGCATGTAAATCATCAGGCTAGCATCATCATCCGGGGTGTTGGAGTAACGGTACAGTCTCAGTTTAACAAACGTTGGTTCTGTGGTGCTCAAATAACCTCACAGCTTGGTCCGTTTTACTTCTAAGCTAGTTAGCGTTTTAGCAGGTTGCAGTTGTTGGCTGCATTTTTGTCTGTGGCTGAGATTGCGAGGCGAACTAATGAGGCTAGCTTACAGTTTTGTTTTTGTGTGTAGGTAACGCTAGTTGTAATGCTCACAGTTATATTCCCTCTCCACTAGCATCTCCTCACTGAAGATGCAAGTAGAGACTGAAGGATATATCTTTCATTCCTGTGAGTTATGCATTAATGAGAACATGAAGACGTATGATCAGACCAGTGTTGCCTAAATCTAACTGCTACAAATGGGCTTTGATACTCGACACTGTTAATAATGAAAACAATAGATGGACACGCCTTTGTGTCAGAGAACGGGAGAATAAAGCTACTCCCTGTACTGTAATAGATGAATGTTTGTCAACTTAACATACTTAGACATATACTCCAGTATTACTTTTGCTTTATACCAGTGTACTCTGATACTCGTGAAATTCACCTCATAGACCACAGAGAGCTTGCACATGATATCCTGTGTGTTGGTGTGATTGATTGCTTGTTAAACTTTGAAAAGATGCATAGTTTACATACGAGAGCACTGGCTTTCTGTTGGTGAGTAATATCCTGAATGAAACTTTATTAAATTATGCCTACTGCAGTCAATACAGACATTGTTTTCACAAATTATTTCTGTATGCACAGTAATGCAATACTTAACTGTCTGGCTAGATCGTATCCTGGTTTCCTCATCTGATTAGAATAATAATTGAATGTACTAGTAACACATAGGCCTATGATGTGTGTTTGTATTTCTATTTCTTTTTAAGGAACTATTTAAGGTCAGTGGTAATTTGTAAACTATTTTAATTGCTCATCAAAGTAAATCAGTTTAGTGATTCAACACAGGGAGTGACATAAAATGAATAACTGTTGCAACAAGCACCATTGGATGAAGCATGATTAGCATCTTATTTATCTTATCTCCATTTATTTGGTCTTTCTGTTTTGTGTGGGTAATTATTGCTATGATAACATGGGTAGACAAGCAAGAATAGTGTTCGTATAGTGAAGAATGGAGGAGGACAGGAACATTTTAACAACACAGATGACTGAATGCTGTTTGTTACATAAACTGGCTCTAGGTTTGTTCTTTTGCCACCTGAGCTCAGCTGCATGGTTCCAGGCCATGTGAGTAAGATCTCCAGCCTTTTCCCCCAGTGTAACCGTTCTATAGGTTTAAATCATAATAAAGTATTCTTTTTTTGGTAACAACTGACATTTTACGCCCATTTCCTCATGTATTTGTATTTCAAAGTAATATTTATTTTACCATACTGCTGGTCTCGGTCACTAAATTAAAGGGAACTAAATTAGAAACTGCATGCGATAACTGTCACGTTGCTGTTCCAACACATAACTTGCTTACAGGTGCAGTTGCATTTCCTCAGGGTCAGGTCTTGACATTAAGGAAGGCCAAAAGACGTTTGCGCTGGATAATAAAATGAATTAAAACCAGAGCCAGTGCAGAAATTAATGTGTGTAATAGTTAGATTGAGAAATTATTCTGGCTACATTCCCCTTGTGGTCTACTTTGTAATATGCGGATTCTTGAGCAATCTTCCCTTAGTTTATTGACACTCACCTAAAGCACAATATAGCATTATATCTAAATCATATGTGGCAATTTAGGTTGTTATCTCAGTCCAGTTTGGTGGGAAAGCAGCATTTACACTACGCCTCTTCCTGCACCCACCATAGCACAGCACAAGATAGCTTCAAATCACAGGTCACATGCATGACATAGCTCTTACAATGATGAGTCTATTCCAGGCCACCACCAACAACAGCTGCAACTATAGCATGTGATAGGCTACGTGTTATCTGTCTTTCGATCTTTTCTGTCTTGTTCCCTGCCTTCATGTGGAGCTCATTGGGAAAACGGATTATGACAATCTTCCAAAGCTTTGTTTCTCAGGTCACGCTAAATCACTTCTGTCCACATCCAGATTAAAGACGAGCCGCTGCTGTCGGCATTTGTAAGTCGAGTGTGGGTCTGTCCATGCACAAGTGCGTTCGTAGGCTTCCATGATTAAGTGTGTGTCAGTAGGCTGACAGTCTTCATTGCAGAGAGCCTAATGTCATACCAGGGTGCGATAAGGGTATGATGATGTCATATGATCAAAGGTTGTGGCAGCGGTGCACTTCAGGTTTTGACTGTTGGGAACAAGAATAGCAAAACCTTAAAGCAATAACTATCAACAACCCGTTGACACTAACAAATTGTTTCACATGCATTCGCACCATAGATATAAAAATTTGTGAGAAGCGAACTGTAATGGCCCATGGTAATACAAACTACCGTACATAGATAGCAGCATCCCAGAACAGCTACTTACTACAGCCAACGTTTAACTATCAATTGTAATTCTCCCCAGCAGGAAGAAGATGGAAATGGATAAGCCATGTCTTCACAAAACAATAGGTTATTTTGTCAACTTTGTTTCTCTTCCCTTCCTCAGCAGCTTTCCACCAGTGTACCTCCTAGATCAGTGACTGACCACCATGTTGTCCAGGTTGAAGACAACCTGGTCCCTGAGGCCCTGTGTCTCTGCGTGCAGATGGGCACACACCAAAGAGAAGGGCAAGCCCCTCATGCTCAACCCTCGCACCAACAAAGTGAGTGGATTACTGACATTGTGTGTGTGTGTGTGTGTGTGTGTGTGTGTGTGTGTGTGTCAGCAGGGCTGGTAGACACTTTAATTGATCCTCAAAGTATAACATTTCTACAAGAAATTGAATATGTCATCATTTGCATGTAATGATCACCAAATACACAATTACCTATCATGCAAGCACATGCAGTTACTCAGGACAACATGGCATTATAAAGTACTGTCAAGAGCTGCAACAGTTAATCCTACAGTAAGCACGGGATTGATTCTGCTGAAAACTAGAAACACTTGCCCATCAGATTCAATTGTTTTCCAGAAGCTGCTTGGTGGCTGATGGCAAAATCAGCGCTAACTGTCGTATTAGCAATGGTTGAAATTTTCAAGTCTGTTGGATATCAGTCCACACCCGGCATCACTGTTGGGTGTGATCCAACATGTCTGTTGAATTGTTGCCAGCTTTCTTTGTGCAACAATTGCTTCCTATTAAGTTTTAAACCATTTAAACATGCAATTCCATGTAGAATGAGAAAAAAAGTTGATTTCAGAGGTTTGCAGCATGTTGCATTATCTTGAGAGGAACTGAGTACTAGAGCTGAGTGAAGTGAAATGCCCCCATCAGCATGACTCAGCATTTTGCCAGTGGATTCATCACTCTCACAGAATAATCTGCCCTTTCCCTAGCCCCAGACGCAATGCTTTCCATCTGCTGTGTCCATATTTCTTTCAGAGATGCGTTCATAAACCAACATACACTCCTGCATCCACTGCAGGATCATAAAAAGCACTTTGTACCCCTCAACCCCTCCTCTACTCTTCTATACATGGGGTGTTTCTGCACAGGGTCCTCCTTATTGGCTTATTTGAGGCTACTCTCCTTTCTTACCTCCTTTTTCTTTCCATCCCCAACTGTAAAATTGCTTTCATGTGGTCTCCACCTTGAACCCAGCTGTCCTTCTCCTGTTAAAGGTCAATAGGTCAGCCCTGAGTAAGGGTGCATAGATAATGAAATCTGCCCTCTGGTGGCAAAAAGACATCATAGCATGTGAACGTTTCCTGCAGCAAGGATTCTGAAAATTGGTTCAGTAATTATTTTCTATTGTTTATTGTTATTTTCTATTGTATGAAACTTAAAAGCAGAACACCCTGTAGCACAGAGGTGATAATACAGCTTTATTACCAAGAAAAATGTGAAATGATGTCTATAAAATGTATATATCATACAATTTTAAAATGTTCTTGACAGTCTGCAGCTATGTAATACCCTAATAGAAATAGCACACTTTTCTTAGATCAGAGTCAAAAGCTTTAGTGTAAAAAGTTAACATCCTGCTGCGTGTGGAACTCTTAATCATGAGTAGGTATCACAAGATAGATACCTACATTACTTTTGTCTCCCTACTCACCCCTCTCTCTTTATTTGTGCTTTCCTCCAGGGCATGGCCTTCTCTCTACCAGAGCGACAAATTTTAGGGATACATGGTCTGTTGCCTCCCAAAGTGGAGACTCAGGACATTCAGGCAATGCGCTTCCAGAATAATCTCAAGAAGATGAGCGATCCCCTACAGAAGTAAGGACGTATTTTGCATTGGATAGTATAGTCACAGTATGAGTTTCTCTGTTTTGCATTTGAGTATTTATTAATAATCATATGTGTATCTGAAATATCGCCTTCTAACTTTTCCTCTCTCTCTTTCCTACTTTTTCACCCAGGTACATCTACTTGATGGGCATCCAGGAAAGGAATGAGAGGCTTTTCTACAGGGTGTTGATGGAAGACATAGAAGAATTGATGCCAATTGTCTACACTCCCACTGTAGGCCTGGCCTGCACACATTATGGGCATATCTTTAGAAGACCCAAGTAAGCATGCAGTAAAGCTAAATCAAGAATCAAGTAGTAAAATAGAAAACAAAAAAAGTCCTGGGGTCTCATTTATAACCCTTGCGATTTTGGAAATTGAAAAAGGAATTGCGGACTGGCAAACAACACCAATGCCCAATCAACCAACACAAATCCAAATCACAACCAACCAACCTAACAAAACACAACCTATACATAACCAACACACAACCAACTAACCAATCGGCACACAACCAACCAATAAATAACCAACCAACCAAAACACATCCACCTAACCAACCATTAGTCAACCAACCAAAAACAACCAAGACACAACCACCAAAACACAACCAACCAACCAAACAAACAAAATGGAAAAAAAACGCAAAACACAGCCAACCAACACACAACCAAAATACAACCAAACACAAAAATCACTAACCAAGTGAAACACCACCAACCACCCAAACAGAACACAACCAACCAAGACACAACCAACCAACACACAACCTGCCAACCAACCAACCAATTAACCAGCACACAACCAACTAATCAATCATCAACACACAACTAACTACAAACAAACAAAAGTCAACCAGCCACAGCCACCAAAACCAACCAAAATACATCCAAGACACAACTAAGACAGAACTGAGACACAACCAACCAATGCCCAACCAAACACAAACCAAAACACAACCAATACACAACCAACCAACACACAACCAACCCGCCAATAAATAACCAACCAAAACAAGCTAACTAACCGTAACTTTACCAACCAACTACCAAGACACTAGTTAAAACACAACCAAGACTCAACCAACCAAACTAACAAAACGAAAAAAAAAACACAACCAAAATAATCAACCAAAACACAACCAACCAATAAACCAACACTTTACCGACTAACAAACACCACCAACCAAAACACAATTTCTCGCCATATCCATATCTCGCAAGCCAATCAGAACAGACTCGTTTTTTTCAGGAGGGGGAGCTAAAAGAGACAGGCAAAACAGAACATTTCAGGCAGAAGGTGAATACAGTAATATTCAGGCAGACACTATGATAATTGTAATGTATGTTCTCATAGCAAATGCAAATATGGGCACAATATGTCCCCTTTAAAGATGTTTTTGTTGTGGAGATATGTTTCTTTGTTTTCCTATACTTTGTAATATATAAAATCTTTCCTTGATGAAGTTCTCATCCCATCATCTTGTTTCTCTCACCAGAGGCTTGTTCATCTCTATTCGGGACAAAGGACACATTCGTTCCATCCTGGACAACTGGCCAGAGACTAATGTTGCAGTGAGTACCTGAACTCCTCACCACAGTAACACCACTTATCAAAGAGTGTACTTGAGTCGTTCATCCCTCTCAAACCCATAGACTGGCGATTTTAGAAATGAGCTGTGAATATGCAGATATTGTTTAACAACTATACATTTATCAAAATCAGTTAAAAATGTCACAGTAAGTCTAGGGAAGTATTTTTAATCAACCCAGCACTGTTCACAGTACATTTACCTGCCAGTCCAGTTTATTGTTGTCACAATTGTGCGCTTGTCAAATGTTTGCAATTTTGCCAACTTTTGTTTCCATCTCCCTTCTTCTGTAGGCTGTAGTAGTAACTGATGGAGAGCGTATTTTAGGATTAGGGGACCTGGGTGTATACGGAATGGGCATCCCTGTCGGAAAGCTTTGCCTGTACACTGCCTGTGCTGGCATTAGACCTGAGAGATGTCTGCCTGTGACAATAGATGTGGGCACAAACAATGAGGTAGGGTGGTTATGTGTATGTTTTCTGTATACGGTATGCTTGCACATGCATTTTGCTTTATACATTTCTCCTTGCCCTCCCTCCAATCAGACTCTCCTCAAGGATCCGCTGTACATGGGCCTGTACCAGCAGCGAGATCAGTCTCAAGCTTACGATGATCTGATTGATGAGTTCATGGAGGCTGTGGTGGAAAAATACGGACAGGACACACTGATCCAATTTGAGGACTTTGGGAACCACAACGCCTTCCGCTTCCTCAGGAAGTACAGGGAGAAGTACTGCACCTTCAACGATGATATCCAAGGTTCACATTTAACCCTTCACACAGCATAAAACACAGCCATAAAGTTTACATGAATTAAGTTCACAAAAGGTTTTTTAAAGAACCATGTTTTTGATTGATTGATTTTCTACCCTCCAGCCAGCTGTTTCTTTTCATTTTCAAAATAAAATTGCAGAAACCTGATACTTGAATTAAATAATCAATTTCATTGAACAAATTGTGACCTTTATTCACATTGCAGCTGCAAGGAAATACAGTTGGAAGCAGGAACCTTTTTGAAAACTCACCTGTGTTTAGGTCGAGGAACCACTGACCGGGGAGATTTGGGTGCTGAAACATAATGCGTTCATGTTGTCTGAAAGGCAAATCAAGAAGGCTGAACAACAAGCACAACATAACTAAATCATTAAGTGAACCCTCCTATCTAAACAAATAGGGATTCATCTGTTCTCTTCAGACACTTTATTGTTTACTGTTGTGTTCCTCTGCATGTTTCCAGGCACTGCGGCTGTAGCCCTTGCTGGTCTGTTAGCAGCTCAGAGAGCCCTTGGCAAACCCATCACTGAACATCGGGTGCTTTTCCTGGGAGCTGGAGAGGTAAGATCATCTTTATCAATTAGTCAGTCAACTCAAGTTCTCTTGGTTTTGTTTTGTTTTTGCCTTTTGCTCTTTTTTTCTATCCAATTTGTAATATACAGTGTATATATATATATATCAAAATACATTCTACAAGCCATATTACCGACCAGAGCTGGTAATGCCAATAAGAAATGATTATCCAACATTACTTATGATCTTAAAAGAATCCAAACTGATGCTGAACATTGACCAGAACCTTTCTAGGGAAACGGTGGATTTGCATAGGCATTCTCTTATTAGAAAATAAGGATTACATTGTATTAAGGATACACTGTCTTAGCATTTAAGTGTAACTTATAGTGAATATTTCCTCTTTAGGCTGCCCTTGGTATTGCCAATCTGATTGTCATGGCCATGATGGAGAGAGGGTTGACCCAAGCTGAGGCCAGAGAGAAGATCTGGCTGTACGATAAAGATGGCTTACTAGTAAAGGTTAGTCTGTGTGACCATTATGTGTCTGTGTGGCTTCCTGTCTGGCTCACTGTTGATATACTGTATTATTGATGAACAGAGGTTTTACTATATTTATGTTGATGTTTGTGTTGCCACCAATGTACTGTTTGTGATTCCAGGGCAGACCACAGGAAACCGACTCTAACCAGGAGCCATTTGTTCATGACAGTCCAGGGACTGTACAGAGCTTCCTAGAAGCCGTCAACACCATCAAACCCACAGCTATCATTGGTGAGGAACTTCTGACTTTCTGTATTTGTGTCTGTGTATTTGATCCAGATCAGGTCAATTGAATAACTTTATTTTATATTTAGGCTATTTATGTGCTCATTAAATCATCCTTAGTGTGCTGTAATTGCAGGCTCTGCTAATGCAGTATTGATTGGATCACAAACACAGTCTGACCAACAGTTCTCTTTCCTACTTCCAGGTGTGTCAGGAGCTGGACGTCTGTTCACCCATGATGTCATCAAGGCCATGGGAACCCTGAACGACAGACCAATTATCTTTGCCCTGAGTAACCCAACCACTAAAGCAGAGTGCACAGCAGAGGACGCCTACACACTCACCGATGTACACAGTTCTTTCTTTTCGACTAACTCCGGAATTAGGCATTAAAAGTTCCTGTGCTGTCAAATCACTCTTCTTGATATTGTCCTTTCTATTTCTCCCATCATCACTCTTTCACCCTTTGTTTCTTGGTCCCATAGGGTAGATGTCTTTTTGCCAGTGGCAGTCCATTTGGTCCAGTGACTCTGAATGATGGCCGCGTCTACACCCCTGGACAAGGAAACAACGCTTACATCTTCCCTGGTGAAAGAAAAAATAAAATGAATATTCATCATTTACATTAATGACCACAAGAGAGTATGGATTATCTACAGATTCCCTGGACATTAACAAATACTGTGATTGACTTAACCAACCAGCCTAGTGTTTGTACAATGTTTTCACTCTGCGGAAAATAATTAGATGATAAACAAACTCTGCAAAAAGCAAACGCAGTCTGTTGATAACACATGATGTGTGTGCTTTGCAGGTGTGGCCTTGGCTGTGATCCTGAGCGGAGTGAGACACATCAGTGACACCGTGTTCTTAGAGGCTGCCAAGGTCTGAAGTCATCACTAAGTATTTCTCTGTCTATCTCTTCTTTTAACTTTCTTTACCTTTCCCCCACCCCATCCTGCACTTTCTTGCTGACTCGGTCATGTGTACATGTGCTGTATATGGTCAGAGAAACCCTCTTTAACCCTTTGATGTCTCCTCTCCCCTCTCTCTAGACTAACAGATAACAGATGAGGTGCTTTAAAAAAGGCTAATGCTGCTTTGCACTTTTTCCATCTATGTTCTTCCCTCTTTCGTATTTGATTTGATTACACTGGTCAATGAAATGAATGATATAAATCACAATATGATGTCTTGCGAGCATTCTTTGTTCAATATTTAAATATTTTGCATGAAAAAGACACCGTCACTTGCATGTGTGTTAATATGAGTAGTAGTGGTTTGGTCTTGTTTCTTTTATATCTTATGTTGTCTTATTTAAAAGCACATATTGTTTTTATGGCTTCACACTTACATAGATGGCAAACAGCAGAGAAATGTGCCGTTGGCAATAGTAGTAGTTTTTATGTTTTTGGACCCCAGAAATTCATCGTAACTCTAAAAGTATTTTTTGACTCCTTCCAGACCCTTGCAGATCAGCTGACGGATGAAGAGCTGAAGAAAGGCAGACTCTATCCTCCTCTCTCCAACATCAGAGAGGTCTCTCTCCAGATGGCTGTCAAGGCAAGTCTCCTGAAAATGATCATTTCTCTTGCTGACAAAACTAAAGACCCCGACTGAATGTTTCGGCTGTTGATGAACCTGTTATTGTTAATCCAAACTGTTCCCGCCTAAATTTAGCTTCTTCTATCATCGTCCGCTGTAACATTATGCTAGTTGGCTTTGAACAACTTAAGATGACATTTTGGTGACACAACATTGCTTCCCAGTCTTATTTGGCTGTAGTTGTGCAGTAACGTTTGGTTAGTTTATCTTTCATTGATGTTTGTCCGCGAAGTACTTGCGTCTGTGTTTTCTATTTGTATCTGCCTCTCAGTATTTCTCAATGCTAAACTTTTCTTTTTGCTGTAGGTGGTGGAGTTTGTCTATGCTAAAGGTATGGCGTTTCGCTACCCTGAGCCTGAGGACAAGGAAAGCTTTGTACGTGCAACTGTGTGGGACACCCACTACGACTCCTTCGAGCCAGATACCTACGACTGGCCAGGTGTCAGCTTCACCCCCAAGACTGACTAGAAGCAGCCCACTCTCTGTGCTCTTTGTTTCCCACTTACCTCTTAATCACAGATAACTTGAGATGATCATAATTACCTTAGTGCAGACATCTGCTTATGAAAAATAGCCAGTACAAGCCCCTTTCTGCTGCATTTGCACTAAACACGTATTATTAGAACTGTGAAAGGGTATAGAGGAAAGTGGAATTTGAATGAGGATATTTAAACGGAAATGGACACTTTCACTTCACATCCCAGTTCTTTATCACCTCTGCATCACATGTAAACCTGCACAGCACCTGGAGGGCCCCCTGGTGGTGGGAAAAGGCAGTGTGGGAATCTGGTTTCAGTGTTGCAATCTTGAGATACATTTTAATGATCTATGTGCTGTTTCAAAAAGAAAAAATGATATAACAATATGACAGTTACTTAAGACAATAAATTCTATGTGATTGTCATACAAGCAGAAACCAAAACACCACACTTGCATCCAATTCAAAACATCCAATTTGAACGATAGGTCTATTAGATTGCGTTGAGTGGAAAAACAAACACTGCACACTTTGTCTCTGCTAAAGGTCAAGATTGGCCTTTACAAGGAGCTAGAGATGACTCCATGCATTGTTGTATGTTTGTGTTGTCATCTACCACCTTTTCTTTTTAGTCATAATTAACCAGGAAATAAGTTACCCTTTTGTTAGGAAATGCCATTTACAATACTGTCTTCTTTTTCACCAATTTTATACGGTAGTCACTCCATTTTTAATGTATTTGTAACCATAATTTGATGCAAACGAGTTGTGTATACTCCTGATTCAGAGTTTAGCCTTTGGTTAGCACTTACTACTACTCTGACTATATGTAGCTACCGAAAGATTGCCAAAATTAATGCATGCATTAATATGCAGTTCGGATATTAACATTGCCTTTTTCACATCATGTGGGCCTCTGATGGCTTCACTAATCCAACCAATGCCCGGTATACAACATGTGGTTAAAGACTCCTTTTTCACGTATGCTTAAATCGGGCAACATTGCTTATCAGAGAAGGTCTAGTAAAGCAGAGGGTTAGAGTACTCGGCCTTTGTGTGCAAACTAGGAGAGAAAGAGAAGAAACATTGTTACTCAGGACAGAAATGGAGGGATGATCTAAAAAAAGACCTCTGAAAAACATGATAAGATTTTATGAGGGAACGTTAAATGAAAATGATACCTAAAACACCAGAGCCAACGTCCACTCCGGCATTTCTTTTGTTTGGGTGCTTTTGTCACATTGTATTTATTTCTCTAAATCTATTTTATTTGATGGGAGTGTATTTCGTTGTGCTGTGCTCATGCTGTATATTCATTAGAAAGTCTCTCATCAACACCTTTTATAATGAGTTGTGGTAAAAAGAATCCATCCCTAGAAATGACCCCTTGGATAAATGCAATATACAAATTGAACATAAAATATACTCTAAATATTTAAGAAAGCAAAGTGCAGGATAAAATGATTGGATTAAAAAGTGTGTTCTATTGTAATTCTATTTTGTGTACTGTGCATAAATGTTTGTAGAACCTGATGCTGTCTATGGAAAGAGTGTTTATAAAGTTGTGTTAAGTAAATCCATGTTTGTTTTTGGCAGCTTGGTGTGTGGGTCTCACTCCTTGGAACATATTCAACAGAACAACACATTTACAGGCTAGGCTTCTATTCCCTGTTTGGGTCTATGATCATTAATGATAACGGATGAAACTAACAGTCAGATTATGGCAGATTAACACAAAGATATTCTAAATTCTACCTTAGGCAGGTTTATATGTATAGCACAAAGTGCTGTGCATAAGACATGAAATGCATTAAGAAAAACACAAGCCAGTATACAAAGATAAAAAAGTCAAATGAAATAGCAGGTTCACTACATTCTGAAAATGACATGTTCATGTCCTTACTGGCATTGTTAATGTGCAGTACTTGATGCTAAAGTAACGGTGCCTACAAGATGATCATATAGATTGTTACTGACAATATATGTTTCTGATGAAGAAACCAAGTCATGCTATCAAGTCAACTTTAACTATGATACTATTAAGTGTCACGAGAAAAATATTTTTTCTATTGACACAAACATTTGCTCGAGCATTTCTTTTAGACGTGTTGTGTCAAATCCAGTGAGTATCTATGCAGTTCAATAGTCACAGTTATGGCAGATGCCAACTTCCTCAAGGTTACAAAGTATACTAAGTATCTAAGTAGCCTACCATTAAAAACAACAAAAAATGTGATGTATAATTGTGGGTATTTATTTTATACTTTGTACTCCCTGATTTGAACGTCTTCCAGGCTCTTTCCTCACAAGTTGAGATAATAAGAGAGAATAATCTATTTACTCGTTTTTGTCAAAACAGCTTCAATGACAAAATCAAATATTTGATGAATAAATAAATAAATGTCCTCTGATGTTTTTATTTTGTTCCATCTTTAACCCTTAATGTTTCTGAGTAAATTTAATATGACAGGCTGAACACACGTGAGCCGTCCTCTTTGTTTACCTTTTTTTACGTCTCCATGCGTCCACTGGTTACCCCGTGTTTGACGTCACATTGCAATGATTTGTGGGTAATTCCCTTAGGCAAAGTCAGCATCCTATGCTGACTTACGGTAAGGCTTCATAAAGGGCTCAAAGTGTCTGCCAGAGAGCCTCAAACACTCGATGATTTGACAGTGGGACAGCTCTAAACCCTCACGGACTTTGCGGGAGCGCGCCTCAAAATCCGTGAGTCGGTGAGGGTGGATATTGGGATTGGGCCCTAGACTTCTCGAAAATCTGACTTTACCTAAACGCCGCACAGTCGCTCGTTTCACGTCATCACAGTGCGACTGTTTACAGTACTGAGTGTTGCATACATGCCGCCTGAGTTCTACTCGTAGACTGTTTTCACCCGTCGTCTTGTAACTTTGGGAGGATGACCATGGATGTGACTTTCCTCGGGACCGGCTCGGCCTACCCGTCTCCTCACCGCGGTGCCTCGGCTCTGGTGCTGCGGACTGAAGGGGAGTGCTGGCTGTTTGACTGCGGGGAGGGAACCCAGACCCAGCTGATGAAGAGCCAACTCAGAGCCGGTGAGTGAGTGAGTGAGTGAGTGAGGGAGAGAGAGAGAGAGAGAGAGAGGGAGAACAATATTTGAGTTAATCCAAATTCCATTCAATTTAGGATGGTTTTATGATGCATGTTCAAGCACATGAAAAGGGTACAAATCATTTAAGTGCTTGTAACTACTTACTTTTCACCCCTGATTCTTTTAAACGCCATTGCTTTTGCTATGACTAGACTTTTTCTTTTAATCTCGGGCGAAGATAGCCTCTGATTAACATAAATGTCTTAGTCTCTGCCAGAGCCTTGAAGATGTTGGACTACAATGGATGACTGATGTGATAACTACAAGACATTTTAACCTTCTTTATTTGCTGCATTTTAATCCAGCGTTTCAACTCGCCACATTCCCATCGTACCACCTGTTGAATGTAATGATATGTTGTGTTTTCTACCCAGGTCGAATCACCACGGTGTTCATCTCGCACTTGCATGGAGATCACCTGTTTGGTCTCCCTGGTCTCCTTTGCACTGTGAGCCTCAACACCAACCCCGAGCAGCAGAACCTGAATTGTGTGGAGATCTACGGGCCGCGGGGCCTCCGCCACTTTTTAAGGGTGACACTTGGCCTCACAGGATCACAGCTGCTCTTCCCTTATGCAGGCATGTACAAAATGTACAACCTCTAATGTGTCCACACTACGGCAGCTTTAAAAAAACACTGGTGCTCTATTAGTACCGCAGCCAATGTAAACTATGGGTTGCACATTCTGATTGTTTCCGAAATTTCACTTACTTTGCATTTGTGAGTTAAAATGCAACCTTCAGGAGGAGATGTTGCAGTTCATTCCGATACTGCATACTAGTTAATCAATTTAGTCCCTTTTATGTCAAAATGAGTATATGTACAACTTTTGAAAAAAAAAAAATGGATTTAGGTAGCAAACATCTATGGCATATTTAAGTGTAGTTTTTACAGCAGAGCAAATCTACCTTGTAGGTTGAGTGTGTATGCTACACAATGGATTTCTACTAATACCAAGACAGATTAGTCAGTAGCAAATCACAGCTATGCTATGGTTATCATGTTTAAAACATTTTATTATATGGAAACTACAACACATTTTCAGCCCTCTTCATTTTCTGTAAAATCTTCCACCTCCAGGCCTAATTTACTTTATTCATTGTAATTGTTTTATTGTACTTAATTGTTTCTCATGTACTCTGCTCTCATTTACATTGTGTATGTTGCTGTAGTACATGAGCTGGAGCCCACAACCGACCAGAGTCCAGAAGAGGGACAGCTCAGCCTGGAGGTAAGTGACTGATTCCTGCATTGTAATAAATCACACTTTAGTTCTATATAGTGCAAAACCCTATACAACAAACTTTCGCTCAGGCTGGACCGATATGTTGATGTACCGTGCCAATGTTAGTCTCTGGATTTCATTTATTTTATCTATGATATAAAAGAGGACAGTCTTCATGGATCTTATTTGCCTACTGGCCTATAGTTTTGGTCTACCACATATTTAGGCCCGACCCGACTCACACAGGAGCATGTCATCTTTAATGTTCTGTGTTGTGTCTCTTCAGATGACAGCGGAGTGTGGTCCTCTGCACCCTCAGGAGCAGCCGGGCAGGACGATCTTCCTGGATGTCTCCAGTGACTGTTACCTCCTCTTTGAAGACAAGAAGTTTGTGGTCAAGGCCTTCAGGTTGTTTCACCGCATCCCCTCCTTTGGTTTTTGCGTTCAGGAGCATGACCGACCCGGAAGACTGAATATTGAGCTCCTGAAGGAACTAGGTAAATGCACTTCATATCTTTGTATGTTACTCTTCTGTTTACTTTAACACCGGTAGTGAAAGATGACTGAAAAATATGAATCCACACCCTTCCAGTACCAGTTATATATTTATAAATGATTCCACAGTTAAATAGCACTAGATTTGTTTCTAATTGAACATGGGAAGCATAAAAGCACAACATGAAGATAATAAGAGAAATGCGGTTTACAGGATATGACGTGAAAAAAAAAAAAAAAGTCGTTAAAGAAATCATTGATGGCTTTATAGTTTGCATAAATCTCTGTAATTCACTACTAAAGCCGTGTGTACTGTCAAAAACCACATTTACGTTTGTTGGCAGCAGGAGGACGGTTAGCTCACCTCCAAGCCCTCGCGTTTAACTGCTGGGGGCTGACTTAGAGATCATCAACATATGACTGTTCTCAACAGTTTTTCAATACCTTCATGCTGACTTTCCAATATACGTGACAATTATGATTAAAACAGTAAACTAAATTGGTCTCATGTAGCACACCTATTTTCATTATACATATGTATACATTTATTCTACATAAATATAAAGTGTTTGCATTAACTTTCATGTAATGTGACCCAGAGTCTCAGATTTAATATTAACATATAAGACTTTTTTTAAATTACTTTTATTGCATATTATAGTATGGCGTTTTTATGATTTTTTTTTTCTTGTTATATACTATTCTATGACAGACTATACTATGACATTTGTTATGACCGACTATGACGTTTTTATTACATACTATACTGTCGCTTTTTAATGTTGTTTTTTAAGTCACCCAAATTTAGATCCGATATACACACAGGTCACACAAGACTATGACACATTTGTGGTACAATATGCTAAATCATAGAAAGTAAATGCTCTCCAAATGGTACTTGTGGATTATTGTGAATGGTCTAATTTTGTGTCCTTCAGGCCTGAAACCAGGGCCGCTTTATGGGCGGCTGAAAGCCGGCAAGCCTGTAACTCTGGAGAGCGGTCGCGTCGTTCTGCCTACTGAGGTGCTGGAAGAAGCTATTCCTGGTAGGAAAGTCTGCATCTTTGGAGACTGCAGCTCGGTTCTTGGGGAAGGACCACTGAGGTTGTGCAATGAAGCGGATGTTCTGGTTCACGAGGCCACACTTGGGGATGAGCACCGAGAGAAAGCAGTGGACCACGGACACAGTACACCTGAAATGGCGGCAGCGGTGGCTCGGGCTTGCTGTGCGCGGAGGCTGGTGCTGTACCACTTCAGCCAGAGGTACAAACCCTGCTCCATGCGGAAGGAAGGGGACGAGGATGATGTGTCAGAGCTCAAGAGGCAGGCAGAAGATGCTCTACAGGGCAGTGATGTAGAAGTGACTCTGGCTGAGGACTTTCTTACGCTGCCCATTCCTCTCAGAAGACCACGGTAATGAACTACTAATTCAGTTTTTATATTGCCTTATTATATATTCACAATCTCAGTTCAAGTTGAACTCACTCACTAGGTTAAGCTTTTAACTGTCAGCATCAACACTTTTTTGTAATGAGACTGTAGATTTTCAAAGTTGGTGAGTCTGAGCACTTTTACTGTAAAGTTGAGCTTGTCAGCTCACTCTTGAACTTGGAAACAGCCGTCGACAACACAATACTTACTTTTGTTTTTTGTCTTTTTTTACAGTTTTATTCCTTGTTTTAAAGAATAACGTTACGTACAATAATGTGTGTGTGTGTGAATCCTATTTTATTGTGCCTTTCATAATGGTGCTATCAAACTGGTCCTCTGTTTTCTGTTGAACAGCCACATTGTGTAAACTGACAGCATACTTGAACAGAGAGCAAGAAACAATTTGCTTTGTGTGTTAAACTATAATAAAGGAGTTATGGAGCAACCAAATCTTTGCTAATCAGTTTTGTTTGTATTCCTTTTTTATCTTCATTGTCATTATTTTTTTGTGCATGTATTCATTTTTCAGCATCACTCTGTCCCATATAGTTTTTTATTATAAGAACTATTAATCACAGCTACTCTTTGCTTACATTTTATTTTAGCTTGATGGTTGCATAAATACAAATGGTTGTATTTATGCGTGTGCGCATCTCTTCATTATTTTTGACCTGAATAGTGGTGAATTAAAATCCTTATTTTACAAACCTATTGTGCTTAGTTGTGTAATTTTTAACTATAAAATGTAAACTGCACTAACAGTCCCTAAATACCCTGAAAAAACAATAACAACCCATGCCCCTTTGCAGCACCTTTCATCAGAAGCATAAAATGGGGCAGCACTGACCACTTGTGGCTCAAATCAAACATCGCATTTGTTTTTCTCTGAAGAAGTAGTAAAGTGAACTGTTAGTTGTGACCCATTCTTAGTCTAGAGTTTCTAATCCACCAAACCCACACAGACACTGAGAGAAGATCCAGCTATGATCCAAAAAACAATGGGAGATAGAACATCTTGATACCGAACAATCCTGTTTCCCCATCTGCCACAGACAGATCTCATTTCAAAGCCCACTGGCAGAAGTGAGGGATGTGTACAGTAAAGTCCAATTATACATTTTCCGCCAGAGTACATCCCATGAACCATAAAGCCCATGAATTACAGCTGTCATAAGTACCGTTATTTAGAACTGAGGCAGTGAGCTGCCCCACATCTTTATCCGGTCCCTATAAATCACGGCTGCTTTCTCTGTCGAGGAACACTAGCTGTTGCTGTTTGAGTGAGGCAGGACACTTCTGTGTTTGGGCAATATGTTGTGATGCAGAGGGTAAGCTGAGCTGTCCCACACAGTAGGAGGACCTGAGAGGGGACTAACCCCATCGCTGCTGCTGCTTCCCACAGAGATGTGAAGCCCTCCGTCGGTACCAGACAAACGGTAACTACAGCATTTTACGCAGGAGGGAAGGATCTCTTGTGATTCCTATCACAACTTGTTCATGTGTCTTGGATAGAAAGAAACTACATGGGCTGTGTGCAAAAGCAACCTTATATGTATGAAGGCTTAAGCATGCATGCAGCAAAAGGCTATCAGCGGGCTGCTGGAATCTAATTTATTGTTGAGAATCCAAGATTAAATACATGTTAAGGAAAATGATTCATCTTTCATTCATATATTTAAGAATTACACAGCAACCAGCAGGCAACAGTGAGAAAGCCTCCAATCTCTATTGCAACCCAGGCCATTCTTTTATTTTTCATTTATATATTTATACAATTACACATCAAGCAGGACGTGAGAACAGTGACAACGACTCCAATCACTTGGTTCCTATCCAGACAACACATTTTCCTTGCCGCACCTGTAATGTGAAACTAAATGGAAAAAAGCACAGTCACCTTTTTTTTTTTTTAATCAGGTAATGCTTTATGTGTGCATTTGCTGGGGTGATTCACCTCATGGTCATGTGGAATACAGTGCATTGGTGTATTAATACATTTGATAAATGAATCATAACAAGGATGATTTATGAAACTGTCACATTTTCTTCGTGGCATATCTGAAAAGCACGGATTGGGGACAGAAATATAAATGGCACTTTTTTTTAATTCTCCGGTTTGGTTCTATTTACACAATAACCACAGAGGGAGGGAGAAACTCATCTGAAACTTCACTGTCAGCTGATCAGAATTTGGGGTTTTAAGGGTTTGTAAGTCAAATAAAACGCATAGGCAGTAAAAGACACACAAACAAATACATAAGAAGAAAAACCTCATGAAAGTGGTGCAAAGAGCATGAGGACCATAATCACCATTAATATGCTGCCCGTAACACTTTAGTGATAAATGTCACATTCTCTGTGACACGAAGCTTTCTCTGTGGTTTACTAATATTCACTAGAGTTGAAAGTCAACACATTTGTGCAGTTAAATTATTTGACAGACATTATGCTGTGCAAACCATATCATTTTGAAATAAATGTTTTTTTTCTGACAAATTATTAATGGAGCAATGTATGACATATAGATATAGGATGCACAGAGCCTCACCAGGAGGCATCATATCATTGTGTATATTTTGTGTAAAGGAGGTCATGGGCTCCATGTGTCTAATATATACAGATAAGCAATTAGTCAAATAACAGCAAGCTTTTTGCTACACATACACCTGGGGCCTTGCGGCCCGGGAGGGTTTGGTGTCCTGGGGCAGTTGGACATTCCTTGTGGGTAATTCAGCCGTGTATGAAGTAAATATGCCTCAAGTGTACTGTAATCTCTATAGGAGAGGAGCAGTTTGAGGCAAAGCAACTCATCACAGAAAGAGAGACAGATTGAAAGGATGGAAGGATAGATATATGGATAAGATAGTGTGGCATCACAAGGGGCCAGGTATTGGAGGGGTGCTACATTCCCTTTGTAGATCAGCAACCACACCATGAAAATGGCTGCCGATCTACATACTACAGCTCCCAGAATGCCTCAACACCCACCCAGGTGTGGGTGTTTAAGCCACCTAATTGAGGCAGGACTAAAGAGCTGCAGGAGGCAGAGGAGACAAGGAGAGGGGGAGAGAGAGGACACGGCTGGAAGGAGCTCCGAGAACAAACTCGGACTGGAGAACTGCATAAAGTCCAGTACAGAACCAGACTGAGAAGGATTGAAAGAAAGAAGACCCGCTAGCCTGTGAAAGCGAGGACATTCTAAGTTGAGTTTTTTTCTAATACTGTTCAGTTTAGTGAACCATTATCCCCACTTGAACGCTTTTGTTTGTTTTGGACTTTTGATTTAGATAATGAGAGATACCTGAGTTGCCAAGTAACAGAAGAATAAAACTTCACCTTTTTCTAGGAACCTTTGATTTTTGTCTGTTTTTGTTAATTACCTTGCACCACCCCACCCTAGTGACTTCTCATGACATTACAGTAGACAGACGGATAGAAAGAAAGAGGGATGGATATAAAGAAAGAAAGGATGGATGGACTCTCCGAAAACTGGTTTCAGCTCTCCCAATAATTTGCTCTTGTTCAGTATTTTTACACAGTTAAACACAGTTGACAGTTTTTCCCTTATTCAATTCAATTCAATTCATTTTTGTACAGCCCAAAATTACAAATTTGCCTCGGAGGTCTTTACAATCAGTACACATGCGACATCCTCTGTCCCGGAACCCTCACATCGGAACAGGAAAAACCCTTTAACGGGGAGAAAAGAGGGAGAGACCTGTGGGAGAGCAACAGAGGAGGGATCCCTCTCCCAGGATGGACAAAAGTGCAATAGATGTCATGTGTACAGAATGAACAGCATAACAGAGTTACAACACATAAGACAGAACCACGGCAGGAGGCAAGACCATAGTCCAGTTATAACCAGGATCCACGGAGACCTGCGAGGCGAGAAAGCAAAGAGACTCTGGGGAAGAAGCAAAGTTAGTAATGTGTGTTAAAGGTATCGTGTCAGACAAAGAGTCAGTCAGACAGACGGAGTCAGAAAAAAAGTCAGTCAGACAGAGTGAGACAGAAAGTCAGAGAGACAGACAGAGTCAACCAGAGATTGTAATCATTGGGTCGTTTATCAAACAGTTACAAAAGCCCTCTTTATCCGACCTACCCCCACCAGAGGCTCATAGAAGTTAATCTAGGGAGTCATATGCAACCCTTCATCAACTATCAATCTCTCCTTTATGGTATGAATAAAGAGTCAGGCAGAAAGTCAAAGAGACAGGCAGAAAGTCAGAGAGACAGACAGAAAAATCACACAGACAGACAGAGACACAGACAGAAAGTCAGAGAGACAGACAGAGACACAGACAGAAAGTCAGAGACAGACGGACGGACAGAATGTCAGACAAAAAATCAGAGCGATGGACAGAAAGTCAGACAGAGTCAGAGAGACAGACAGACAGTCAGGCAGAAAGTCAGAGAGACAGATGGACGGACA